GGGTATTAGGGGTTTGGGGTGCAAGAGGGGACTCTGGCAGGAGGCTGAGGTGCGGGAGGGAGTGCAGGGTCCCGGCAGTGCTTTCTGCAACTCTGAGGAAGCGCCACCAGGTCCCTGTGGCTTCTAGGGGCATGGATGGTCAGGCGGCTCTGTGCAGTGCGTGCTGCCTTCGTGCCCGCAGGCGCTGACCCCTGCAGCTCCCATTGGTTGCGGTTTCTGGCCAATGGGAGCTGCGGAAATGGCTCTCGGAGCGGGGCTAGCGTGCAGAGCCTCCCAGTCCCTGGCCGCCCCAGGGCCTAGGGGCTGCAGGGACCTGGCGGCCGCTTCCAGGAGCCACGTGGAGCTAGGGCAGGCATGGAGCCTACAGGAGCCCTGGGCCCCCGCTGCGCTGCCGACTGGACTTTTAACAGTCCAGTTGACAGTGCTGACTGGAGCAGCCAAGATCCGTCTTTGAAAACCGGATGCCTGGCAACCCTAATGAGGGGAGGAGAGTTAAAATGGAAACAAGAGACTAATACATAAGTATAAGAAAAGATAAGAAGTTATAAATAAGTTTGTGTAACAAAGGGAGGTTGGAGCTGTATTGTCCAGTGCTGGAAGCGACTGTGATGACATCATCCTAATGAGCTTCCCACTTATAAGTAATGGATCACTATTTGCTGAGTGTTTTGCCTTAATAAATATTTGTTAGACCCCATCTGTTGATTAAATGAATCTCAGTCCAACTTCAGTACATGGTTAAATACTTTGGTGGATTGGGGGCTAAATGATTGTGAAACTGCTATAAGATCATTGTATGCACACCTTATTCACTATCTTGTATTTAAGACCAAACCAAAACTGCTCCTGTTATTTTAGCAAAAAGACATAATACGCAGGCCCAGATCCTGGGCTGTGGCCAAGGACCATTTGGTGCATCTCAGGAGGATTGTGTGTAAAGGTGGCGTTAAGCCATCTTTGTGACCCACCTCCCTCTCTGATCTTGGGGCCATCTGTGTGCCAGTCCAATCTTCTGTGTAACTTAGAGAAACCTGAAAGCTTTTCTAAATTGCGGTGGCTGTCAGTGGGCCCCAGGGGCCACCCCAGCAACTGAGCATTAGTAAGTACAGGAGCCTTGGCCATGCACGCTTTCCTCTGGCCATGCCCATATGTCATTTGGGAAGGGCATGGCATAATAACCAATCCAACAGCTCTATATCACCTGATTCACCTCTTCAGCGGGCCTCCTCTAGCGGCTGGCTAAGCTCGCTTTAATACGGCTTTGCGCAATACAAACTAGTCCTACCCCACAGTAAGTTGGGCCCACAGTTAGACCATGTGGCAGGCCTTTCCATTTTGTCTTCCTGTTTGCGTGCATTCAGATCTACTTTACAAAGGTTCATAGAGCGTTCTGTTGGAGAAGGTGGGCCTGACTCTTCAGTCTGTTATGCCAGTGTAAATCCCTACACTGGCATAAAATGTGTATATTGGAGTAGATGACCAGACCTCATGTTTGTATCCTCACCAAGCAATGAGGAACTAGAAAAAAGGAATAACTTTCCCAGGAATCATAGGCACAATGGCTACATACTAACTATTAGAGCACAATTTGTCACACTACCATTTTGACTGTTCATTTAGTAAATAAACATTTTACTGAAGGATAGCATCTGTACAACAGATCAAATTACAATATTTCAGTAATGAATTACCAATATCCAATATCCTTGTTGAGTTGGCAATAATGAATATATGTGACATGTATTTTTTCTAGTTTGAAGATGAAAAAGAGAACAAGATCTGGAGAAGTGCACAAAGAAGATGAAGTGTCAGAGGCAGAACTGCAGATGTTTTGTGGAATACAGGGGGATATAATACTTAGTAAATCTTAACTCTTTTCAGTTCAGAACACTTTCCAAATATTATTCCTCACTTCTTCCCTGGATAAGCAAGTATTAGTACACTTAGTCAATTGTGCAATGCTATAAAGGGTGTACATGCTTCTTCCTGACCTGTCTAAGCTATCACTGGTGCCCTGAAGCATGATAAATTATCACCCTTACACCATCTTGCCTTGTATCGTTCCTATTTTCAAACCATGTCCAAATTAAGTCGTAATTAACACTATTATTTTAAATTGTCCAACCCTTTTTTAAGTCTTGTAACAGGATTTGACCTCCTGCAGCAGTGAATTCAACAGACTGATTATGTACTTCATGAAGTAGAAGTTCCTTTTATTGGTTCTGAATTTACAACCCATTTAGCCAAAGCTCTCCTTGGTCTTGTATTCTGGAGCAGGGTAAAGAGGTGGCTTGATCCTTCAAAACTTTGAATTCTGCAGTCAAGTTGCTCCATATGCTTTACCCTTCCAGGATAAATAATCCCAGCAGAGGAGATGGTGTAAAATATATTCTGCTACAAGAAAATCTTTGACAAAACCAATTCACATCATATACATGAATTTTATCCAAAGGTGGTTGCCAACACACTCAACCCCAAAATAGCTTGTCAGATGTTCCACTTATTACTAACTGCAGCAGGCCACCTGAAAAAGAAAGGAAAAGATATGCCCAAATCATGGGAAACCCATGGTCATGGCAACACAGCTTCCAAACTTTAAAGAGCAAAACTCTCTAGATTATTATTCTTTATACAATGCTGGGTGTGTACAACAAGGGGTTGTATAACTGGGAAACTATGATGAAGAAATAACAGGACTCTGCCTTGAAGAATTTAGAAACTTGAGATAGTGTAGTTGGCTGCACTACAGACACTGTGTTGTGTGGTAATTACAGCTGGGAAGAGGTAGGTTATTGCCTTTTTTTTTAATTATTTTTTTTTGAAGAAAGAGAATGTGGGGGCTTGGCTTTAATGGGAAACTGTTTCATGCTGTCAGGGTGTTGTGAAAGGTGGCACAAAGCCATGAGTGGGCTAAGGAGTCAAAGGGAGAGAAGCTTAGGTGGAGCCAAGGGTGTGGCTGGATGTGTGGGAGAGAGGTGCAGGTAGAGCAGTTATGGAGTGCTCTGAAAATGTGAAAAAGGCTGAAGTTAATATGGAAGAAAAAGAGGCCAGTGTGAGCATGGAAATAAGTGAACCCCTTCAGATAGTATATGCTAGAGCTAGGCAGGAAATGGGTTTCCTGTCCTGGGAAAATGTAGATTTTTTTTTTTAAATTTCCATATGGAATCGGGACAAAAAGTCGTAATCTCAAAAATTTTCACAAACTGAAAATTAAAAAAAAAGAAGGTTTAGGTCAATTTAAATGTTTTCTTTTGATTTCAACCTCTTTTTTTTTTTTTTTACTGTAAATTAGATTTCAAAATGAAAAATTGTTTTGAAGCAAAAAATTGAATTTTCTGTTTGGGAAATGTTAAAATGGAACATTTTGACAATGTTGAATCTTTTCTCCAAAAGTTTTTCAAAATGGGAAATTTGTAGAAATCAGACCTTTCCCATGAAGTTTTGGTTTTGACGAATCAGCATTTTTTGACATTTAGTTGTAAAATTCCTGACCAGCTCTATTGTATACCCATTGCTAAAGCCCATCTGCAGAATGATGCCTTACTTAAGATCAGAAAGAACTCATTCACTAGAGACAACACAAACCAGAACACGAGATCAGCAGATTCTGATTATTCATCTGTATAGATAGCAAACTACTATATTCAGTCATATGCTGCAATTTCATATTTAGAATTATCATATTTTAATATATAGAAAATAAATGAAGCAGAGACAGTAATCTACAATGATACATGCTTTATTACACCTTCTTTATGTCATCTTGGTTTCACAATCATTGCTAAGGTTTAAATTTGCCCGTTCCTGGAACCTGATGATCCACCCTACTGGGTTGAATGGTTTTCTAACTGTATTTGTAGCTCCTGACCTTTCACTAAATGCAATACAGAGTCTCTAATGTCTCAACACTGTATACTACTATAATATTTAACGAATTCACATGCTCTTGCAAGCTTCAAGTAGCATCATGGGAGCATTCTCCAGTGCTGAAGGCAGAACTGAAAGTTGCCAGATATTATGGGGATTAAATATGGGCAAGAAAGAGGAACAGATGGGAAGAGAGTGGTGGATATAAGGCTCTTGAACCAAAGTAGTACTTCAGCCCCTATGGGTGTACAGTCAGAATTTCCCTTCGGTGTTATTGTATTTGTATATAAGCTGAAGTAACTGCAAAAAAAAAAAAAGTGTATTTTTTCTGATGACTTTATACTCTTTTTTGAGGGTTACATTTGTCTGAGTTCTTGTATCTATTTATGGATTTAATCTTCAGTTTTATTCATATCTGGATCTGATATATTATGCCCTCTTTGTAAGATATAGATGGTTGGGTCCAAGACTGATAGGTGGGAAACCTAACTCTGTTCCCCACCCTGCCACTCAGTGTATGGCCTTAGGCTAATCATTTAACTTCTTTGTGCCCCAGTTTTCCCCATCTATAAAATGGGAATACTCATAATTTTAAATGACTTTGAGCTCATCAAATGAACGATGCCATATAAGTATTATTTATTATTAAGGTCACTAGGCCGTTTAGTTTCAATATGCGGAGCCTCCCTCACACATCAAGGTCTTATCTGTTCATTCCCTGCAGTATTCTCCCAGGGTGTTCACGCTCAGAGCTTTTGGAGAGGGCTCAGGTGCAGATCAGACCCCCTGTTACCCAGCCTGCCAGGAGCTGCAGCAGATCCACCCCTGGGGCAGTACCCATCCCTGTGAGGGTGTGTGTGCGCGCGCGCGCGCGCCTGCGGGAGGCCGCGCTTGCCTAGCTCAACAGAGCCCATGGCCCAGCTGCTGGGGCTCCGAGCACGCGCAAGGGATACGGGAGGGGCTGCGGCGCTGAGCGCGTTGCGAGGCGCCACGGCTGGGAGGAGCTTTGCCCCCTCTAGCTTCCCGTTGGGAGCGTCCGTCAGCCGGCCGGAGGGGAGGGGGGAAAGCCTCCTGGCGGGGGAGGGCGAGCCCCGCTGTCGGTCACGTGCCGGGTGGAGGAGTATAAAACAATCCGGGGGGGCTGGCACGTGAGGCCGGCCGAGAGCGAGACGCGGTGGCTGCGCGAGGGAGCCCGCCTGCTTGCAGCGGTGAGGCGGCAGCGGCGTCCCGGGGCTTGCTGGGTGCGCTGCCCCAGCGGCGTTGTTACCCCCAGGTGCGTCCCAGCCTGCGGTGGGCGGCCCTCCTCGGGGGGGCGCAGCAGCAGCCGCCGCTGCTGCAGCGGTTACAATGCAGCGATGAGCCGCTTCGTGCAGGGGGCTGCGGAGCCCTCCGGCCACGGCCCCTGCGGAGAGCTGCTGCGCAGGCCCCAGGGCTGCGAGGAGCGCAGTGAAAGCGGAGGGGCGGCTTGCTGCCACCCGAGGGACTGCTTTAGTGACCCGTCCCGGGGCTGGCGGAGCAAGCGCCTGCTCCTTGCAGAGCACAGCTGTGTGCGTGGCTGGGTTTCCTGGGCTGCTCGCTCCTGGTGGTGCCCAGCGCGGCCCCCAGCCAGCCATCGGCGTCTCACGTGCCCAGTTTGCCTAGTTAGGTCAGGAGTTGTGGAACAGTTTGTATGGTGGGGGCGCTGAGAGCCACTGACCCAAGCTGTAAACCCTGTATATGATGGAAACCTCTTCAAGCCCGAGTGTGTGGCCGCACCCCTAGTTCCAGCACCGATGAGTTACATGAGCATCATCTTTACAAGCTGGAGAGCTGTCCCCAGAGGCTGAGCCCTGTTCCTTTGCAATAGGAAACATACTTTCCCCTATGGCTGATTACAACATACTGCTGGTTAAATGTTTGTTAAAAGTTGCGGGAGAGGGTGCTGGCTGTCAAATCATAAGACTATCAGGAAAAAAATTTAAACTGGCTGCTTGATGATCAGGCCCCCAGGGATAGCTCAGTAGTTTGAGCATTGGCCTGCTAAACCCAGGGTTGTGAGTTCAATCCTTGAGGGGGCCATTTAGGGATCTAGGGCAAAAATTGGGGATTGGTCCTGCTTTGAGCAGGGGGTTGGACTAGATGATCTCCTGAGGTCCCTTCCAACCCTGATATTCTATGATTCTAAGTAGCCGGCTGTGTTAGGTTAGCCCCTGCACATGCACACACACAAGAAAGTGAATGTACAGTTCAAATGATCCCTCCTCCCCTCGCTGTATAGCTCAAACAATAGGAGTTATGCACCTGTTGAGTGGAGAGCTGTCAGGGTGGAGGTGTCCAGTATTGGTGGTGGTTGGAGCATGATTGTCCAGTCTTGAACGTGCTTGTGTGTATTGCAGCTAATGTGACCAGTAAACTTGTTAGTCTTCCAAAGAGCACCATAAAATAGTTCTTTCAAAAATGACCTAAACACCAGTACCAAAGTAAGGCTTGAAGTCAGTTTTGCTGCTTTAGGGCTGATAGAAGATCTCTACATCCTCAACTCTGAACTTCCTTGTAATTGTACTACCTTCTGCTCTGTTATTAGCTTGCTGGATGACCTCAGGCAAATCACTTTACTTTTCTGTGCCTCAGTGTCCCCATCTGTAAAATGATAATAGTACTCACCTTCTTTCTAAAGCCCTTTGAGATCTGCTGATGAAAAAAGCACAATATAAGAGCTAGGTATTTTGCTGTGATCCTGATTGGTCTTGTTAAATCTAGTATAGTTGGTCATATTCTTGGCTATTCTTCAGAGGTATATGAGGTTCTGCATGGATTAGTGTTGGTGGCTTCAGTAGATAGCACTCTTCCCTTGGAGTGGAAATGAACCAGTATCTTAGAGTGGTCAGCTCACTGGCCTGAGTGAGGAACAGTCTTCCTGCAGAGAGGTGAAGCATCCTGGTTATGTGTGAAAAGAGCCAGTAGACCTTTAAGAGTATAGAGATTAATCTAAATATCCCAGCCAAAGTCAGTGTGATTGCTGTCAGAGGTGCATTGTTCTCACCCAGGTTGCTTATGCTTCAGATGTGGGTGAAATGATTTCTATATAGTCTGACATTGAGTACTCTGAGACTCTATGAAAGTGCACATCTCTGGATTTTAGCCTCTTTAATTTGAGATTGAACACATTGCTTGCTATGCACTATAGTTGGACACTTCAAACTTCTCTCCTTTGCATACCTAGTAGCAACTGCAGCAGCCCTAGAGTATCTGTGTTAGTAGACTACTTCTGTTTGTCCTTTATTAAAGCAGGGCAGTATGTGAGTGCCATCAAAATCTGCAGAACTTTAACTTTCACTTAACTCTGTTTGAAGTGTCAGATCCTCATGGTGCTGTGTGTGTTAATCTGAGTGTAAATCAGTGTATTGTTGTTTTTAGGATTATTGTCCATTGATGTAAATGAAAAGCTTCCCATAAGATCAGTGGTTACTGCATCAGACCCTTTGAGTGAGAATGGCCAGTTTCAGTGCTGCTGTTGCTCATAGTTTTGTCAAGCTGCAGCAGAGTGAAAAGCAACCAGATTCTTGTCCGCTTCCAGTGCTGTCTACAGAGTTGTGAACAGAAGCTGTGAAACGGAAAAGAATCTGGTTGATATTCAAACTAGGGCTATCAAGCAATAAAAAAAAAATCACAATTGCGTGATTAAAATGAATTATGATTAATCACACTGTTAAACAATAATAAAATACCATTTAAATATTTTTGAATGTTTTCTACACTTTAAAATATATTGATTTCAGCTGTAACAGAAACAGTGTTCAGTGCTCACTTTATATTTTTGATTACAAGTATTTGCACTGTAAAAAGAAACGAGATTATTTTTCAGTTCACCTAATACAAGAACTGTAGTGCAATCTCTTTATCATGAAAACTGAACTTACAAATGTAGACTTGTGTACAAAAAAAATTATACTCAGAAATAAAACAATGTAAAACTTTAGAGCCTACAACTCCTTGTTCGTCTGAACGATTGGCTGAACAAGTTTGTTTACATTTACAGGAGATAATGCTGCCTGCTTCTTGCTTACAATGTCTCCTGAAAGTGAGAGGAGGCATTTGTGTGGCACGGTTGTAGCTCGTGTCACAAGATATGCGCTAAAAATTCATATGTCCCTTCATACTTAGACCACTATTCCAGAGGACATGTGTCCACGCTGATGATGGGTTCTGCTCAATAACAATACAAAGGAGTACGGACAGATGCATGTTCATTTTCATTATCTGAGTCAGATGCCACCAGCAGAAGGTTGAGTTTCCTTTTTGGTGGCTGTGTCCATAAAGAGACTTTTGTGTGGGAGAAGAACAGACACTTATAAGATGAGAGAAATACAATAAGGAGATGTAGGAGCAAGAGTAGGAAACAGGCATTGAAGACAACATACAGAAAAGAAGCCATCCTATATCTTAAGAAGAATTCCAAAAGCAAGAGACTTTATAGGTAGGAGTGTTTTGAGTAGTATTAGATATTACATTTGACATATGCCACTGATCTATTAAATTTAATCTGACAAATACTTTCTTGCAATATTAGCATATAAAACTATCGCAGTACTATTTGGCAAATACCTTGATGCCTTTATCGCCACTAACATTCAAACACTTTTGCATCGATGGGCAATATTACACTGAAAGATAGTACACAATTGCCTTAATCTTTTAAGTTGTTGATAGTATGATGGAGTTGTGGGTAGGCATGGTTGTCCATACATATTTTACCCTGGCTAATCAGTTTGGTTCTCAAGTTGGTAGGTGTTGGCAGGGGATGGGGGAGTTATGGGGGATGACTAATTACAAGTTATAACTTACAAATTATTCTTTCTGTGTAGATTCACTTAAATAACTATGAATCAGTCCTTCAGCTTCAGTTGGACTGTACAGCCTTCAGGTGGCTGGATGGTTGAAGGAATATGGAGCTTTTTCACCACTAAACCACCTGGCTTAAGAATTGCAGCCTCACCTACAATGGAGAGTTTTGGGTGTGATAAATAACATTATTGGCCTGTGCAACTCCTAAATGTTGTCCTTAGCCAGTGCTCTAGTACTGAGTTACTAGCGTAGATAAGAAGCATTGGTTGTCTAAGTATTACAAATGTCCTGCAGCACACCAGTCATTCAAGAGCATATTAATTTCCCACAAGCCAAGGCACATAGTGCCAAGAAATGTGGGATAAGTTTCCAGAAGGCAATGCACTTGCAGTGTCTGTGGGGATAAATGCAAGCAAAATAGGATTGGTGGTGTGAACTCCCTGTAATGTGGCAGGTACACATGGGCCAGTAATAACACTTCACTTTCATGTGGCACAATTCTCCAGTGTAAACAAGTCTTAAGCTGCCACTATTCAAAGACTCTATATGTGAATGGTCTCCGCCTTCATATTGGTAAGCGCGCACATTAAACACTCACCACTGGCTGGCATGTTGGTAGTTTCAAGAGAGGATTGAATGCAATACAAATTCCCCCTTTTCCCTTAAAGGTGGCCTCTTCAGGTAAGGGATAAGGCAGTCTGGTGGCAGACGATAAGGAAACCTTTAGTACTCCTACCAGGCTGTACCTAGTCTGTAGATTAAGAGAGCTTCAGTAACCAGGACTGTCAATGTGGCACCTTCTCACATCTGCTAAATTTGGTGAGAAGGGTTTGGGAAGCATATCTCTCTCTCTCTCTCTTCCCCCCCCTCCCCCTTTGCATGCCTCCCCTTGCTTTGGGAATTTCAGGGTTGCCTTTAAACTCATAATACCTGTAACTCGTATGGACGGTTACTCTTTGCTCTCTATTAAAACTAATAGATTTTCAAATAGGATATGAAAGTCTGTCTTCTCAAGTCCATTGTCATAAACTCTGCTTTTTGGGCATGCATACTAAATGAATACATTTCTTTAGTTCACATTTAGCTCAAATCTTAAACTGGAAGAGTGACCACAGGCAGATTCACTTAAATGTGTAAAATTTTCCATATAAATAATCCCTGAAGTGGCTATGATTAATAGCCGGTCAGCATTCTTCTGCATCAGTTCATATTTTACACTGTGGCTCTAGGTGCTTCAATAATACAAAGAAATAATAAAGCTCATTCTAGGAGGAGAAAAAAGCATTTAGATGGTGAAGTTCCTTAGTAAACAAACCTTGTTTAATTTTAGCACAATACATTTATTACTCTTCCAGTGTATACAGTTGCAAGAGCAGAAATTGTTTACCTTGAGATAGTAAATCAAGATTTAAACAAACTCTGAATTCTGTCAGTTTCTCCTAGGCAAGTGATGCTTGGCAAGTGACTCCACAGCCATGCTGGTTCTCTATAGGTCTTGTAACCCTGGCTTTTAGCAGAGTACTGATCAAAAGAGCACCAGCTTTTGCTACTGCATAAGCACAAAGGAGTGCTGAGCAAATGGACCGTTTGCAGGGTTCCCTTCCCAACTGTCTGGAGACCAGGGAAGGGAAGACATAGTGCCAAATGGAACAGCAGAATTGCAACAATTATGTTGAAAGTGTACTGCAATGTTTGCACATTGTCAACATCCATTGTTGACAAATGATGCAATGTTGTGATATAAACATTACAATGGAATGTCTCTCTGACTTTAAATGGATTGAGAGTATCCCTGAAGAACTGACTTTATTTTGGACAGGTGGCTTTTCTGCTTTTTCATTCTGCTGACCTCTCCATAAGAGATTTCCCTCCTCGTGGCTGCCTCCTCCTAGCTTCCCACTGCATGCTGGGGGCCATCAGGAAAGGCATCATGCTTCATAGCTTGAGAGGCAGTGTTCCAGACTATTCATTGATCACACTTCACTTATATTTTCTTGGTTTAAAATAAGGATTTTGTTCCATGACCACTGTCATGGTTTGGGTATTCCTAATATACCTGTCCATTATTCCTTGTGTGTACCTGTTCTCAATGTGTGGTAGACTTGTCTGTGGATGAACTCAGTCTGGTATGATGGTATTGTTAAATTGTCTGTATTTGACTGGCGTGTGCTTAGGAGTTCCTTCCCTGTAGGAAGTGAATTTTGTAACCTAGTTTCTAGTATTATGGGTGTTCATGTGTTCAATGGATACAGAAACTATGCAGCTATATTAGTTCTCAAAGACAAAGTAAAGAATGGTACCTTACTGAAGAGGTCTCATTCAAGAAAGGCTAGTTCCAGGACCTGAAGATTACCAGAAACCTGTTAGAGATAGACCTAAAAGATGAGGAGTGGCAGAGCCCTGCCAGCAAGGTCCAGTGGCAATGCCTTCTGAGAAGACAAGTTGTGTACATGATGTTCCCCTTGAAATCCCAGCAGACTGGGATTTCAATCAGGTTACCCTTCCTGGTCCCTGCTTCGGGGAGAGGAGTTTGCTCAATTTTCCATGCTGGCTTCTGGCAAGGAGGCTTTTGATTCAACCTGAAGATTCCTCGTTCCCCCCTCTCACCTGCTCCTCTATCTTCTTCAAAACCAGAGTCTGTGGGAGGCTTGCCTCTCCTACTGTACATTTCCTCAGCCTCTTCTAGTGTTGCAAGGTGTGTGGTTTTATGTGACCTTTCACAGTTTACCCTCCACTGTCCTAGCCTTCCTCTTTCTGGGTCCTTTCCCCATGAGTAGCTCCCAGGCAAACGGGAGTCCCTTCTCTGGCTATGGTCCCCCATTGCTGTCCCTCCTTTTTGGCTGGTGCAGTGAGAGCTCCCTCCTATTTCAATCTACTGTAAACACTGTTCACAGAACTCTGAATAAGTATTGTGTAAGTAAAATTATGAGAAGCAGCAGAACTACGGGAGATCTCTACTAGCAGGAAAACTATGCTGAATAGTAAACTCAGTTAACACTTGGAAGTCTCTTTGAAACTATAGGGGCAAAAAGTTAACTTTCACTTCCTGGAGATTTTGCTTCTGTAGGATTCAGTGTAGGCAATCCTTGCATGTGCCTAGTGGTCTTGTCAAGACCTGGCTTCTATCCTCTGCCAACCTGCTAGTCTGCTGATGATCTTGGCAACAGTAACTTACTGCATATTGCAGAAGAGTACTGTTTGTAGGCTATTATATAAAAGCAGCTCCCTGACTCTTTTCAAAGAGGTCACACTTCACTTACGACTTAAGGATTTCTTGCAGGTAGTTTTGAGTTGTGCTGTATCTTGAGGCAGTTCTGTTGTAGTAAGCAGCAAGCCAGGAACACATTTTCTGGTGTATAATTCATGGGACATATGCATGTGTGAGGACAACAAATGGACTCAATCTTGTGTATATAAGGGAGAAAAGGCAACATTTAAGAGAGGAATTTGAGTAAATGGTACTGTCGCCCATCCAGTTGCTTAAATTTTTCCATTGGGTTAGCATTGTGCTATTGTCCCTTTTATGAGGTCCTAAGAGTACCAAGATTGTATGATTGCTGTAATACAAGACCCTCTAAAATAGCACCCAACAGTGCTGAGCAGTCCCAGTTTTAGTTCACCTCACACTGATGGGCCTTTTTAAAATAAAGGATTAAGTCTCTTGTGGATGCTTATTTCAATGGCTCATCCTTCCTTTCACCTCAGGCAGCCAGTGGACAATTGGAATTTCTATGCATTCTCACCCCACAAACACTAATGGGCTCTGTTCTCCAGTTGATTTCTATTGCTAAAAGGACTCCAATTAATCCTCAGCCAAGCACTCAGACTAAACAGTATAAACTACTTCTGTTGCCTCTAAGTTTTAAGGGGTGGATAGAGGAAAAGGGGGAAAAGTCTTTTTTTTTATATATATATAGATGACATCTGTAGCAATGGTGGTGTTTGCTCATTAGCTAGGTAGCTGAACTGAAAGCGGCCAGTTAGTAGAACATCTTTCATCTAAGCCATATCAGTGTAGTCTCTCTAGTATTCTAAATATTCATATCCCAAGCAGAATGAGCCTAAGTGAGCACATAGCCAAATGCTGCATGAGTTATGGTTTGCGTACATAGCATTCTTTGCTTGGTTAATATCCTGTGCAGAGTGGCCAAAAATTAGTTTGACAACTGACAACAATTGCCCTGTGATGGAAGTTCTAGAAATTTAAATGTGAGTAGCAGGATGAGAGGGAAACTGCAATAAATGGGGGGGAAGTGAAGTAAAATGGAGAGGACACAGCTTGGAATAAATTACTACAAAAGTTGTAGTATACCCTGTTTTATCTTGGCATGAAATTACGCTATAACTTTTTTCCTGGGGAAGAGAGGGCATGAAGCTATAACAACTAATAGTCTGTATTTATAATCTATTAGAGATGAGCACTGAAGCAGAACAGCAGCTCCTCCATGATGCTAGAAATGGAAACTGTGAAGAGGTTCGACAACTACTGGAAACCATGGACAAAGAAGAAGTAGTTGTTGACATCAACTGCAAAGGTTAGTATGATTAACTCTTAGCCGTTAAGGTTATAAACCTTAAGTGATGTAGGGCCCCCTCATTATCCTCTAAAAGATAAAACATCAAACTCTGACACACCAGGCATATATTTTTGCGTGGATGCATGTACATATAGAGCAGTGTGTATATGAGCCTCACCTGGTGAGGTAAAGTACAATGCTTTGAAAGTTCTCTTGTAAAAGCAGAATGCACTACTATGTAAAGGACCAGAAAGACTGCAGGAGTCCAATATGTTGGCCTGTATATCGTTTCTTGGTTTTGGTGAGTAAGTGGTGCCATTTGCAAAGAACACTGATGCCATCTGCCAGCACGTCCAGTGATTGGACATGTCCTAATAAGTCTTGAACATGTTCTGCTGTAACTGTTTGTATCTTGCATCTTTCAGTCTTTGTAGTAGAGCACACCCCCAGTCAATACTTCATTTATAACTCACTTGAGAGGTAAGTCTACATATTTGATATCTGTAGAAGCTGGCGATAAGTGTATAACTATAGAACTTGGGCAGAGTAAGAGGGACTCTAGAAAGGGAGGGGATGGGGAAGAGGATAAATAGCTGATAATGTAGTGTTAACATTACAGTAGGGCCTGGAGACCCCAACTGGGATTAGATACTCCATTGTGTTATACACTGTACAGACACGACAGTTGCCACCCCAGCAGTTTATGGTCTAGTTGGATGAGGTGCAGGGTGGAAGAGTAAATGGAGGTTTAAGAGAGGTGAAGTGACTGACTTGACCAAAGTTGCACAGCATGTCACTGGCAGCAATGGCAATAAAAGCCAGATATCTTGAGTCCAGTCCAGTGCTTTGTCCCCTGCACCATGTTCTCTCTCCTCTCCATTAATAAGCCATGGATGCTTCACTTATTAATGCCTCAACCTGTAAAATATCTAATTAGCTAATCCCCAAAAAGAGAATATGCATTTGTTCCACTCTCTTCTCAGTGGGAAGTGGGGAACAAATGGCTTAAAGAGCAGGGCTTTTTGTTTAAGACAGGATAAAAGCAAAGCTCTCTTAAAGAAGAATCTTGCATATAATTCAAAGCCAACAGTATGTACAGTGAAAACTTACACCTATAAACAAATGGACTACTAAGCATAAAGATTCTTGCCTCAGCTGGATTTGTCATAACAAAGCTACAGAGATACCACCACTCAGCTGCCCATTATGAATTAACTTCCTCTGTTATACATGTATCTATCCACTATTGACATGGTATTCTCATTTATTTTCAGGTGTGAACATTAACAATATTATAGCATTAGTCTCAAAGAAATTGTACATGCTTACCCCATTTTTGGAGTTAAAATTTGGGACAAAAACAAAGTAAACCCTGCAAAGTCCACCGCAAACTCCACTTTAGGGGAAGTGCTGGATCTCTCCTAGAAAATAGTCTTTCTAGTCTCCCTCTTCCTACCTCCCCACCACTCATACACAGAGGCAGCAGTAGCTGGACCAACAACCCCGATTTGATCTTCTAATGTGTCAACCCTTCTCTTGAAGGACCCTCTGAGGTGTGGTTCAGTCCTTGGTCTCTGCAGAGATTTTCAGTTGCATCATTCCAAGTGGTGCTGCTTTTGAGAAGTGCATACTTGTTCCATGGGAAGTGGACTGAAAGATTTTTTTCCCTTAAGCTAATAAACATCCATTAGCTAGTAAACACCCTGACAGCTATATTGAATATGAATCTAGGATTGTACTAGGCACTGCAGACTTAATAACTTCCCTACCCTATATAACGTCCTGCCTAAAACAAGGGAGGTGGAGAAGGGTTACAACTTTAACTTTTGATCCTATGCTCTTTTTCCCTATCAACTTGAATGGTAATCCTCTTTTTTTTTTCGTGGTCTGACTCCTTTAACTTCTTCCACACTCTTTCTCAGTACTCATTGCTTCTGTTTATTCCAGCAAAATGAGTTCAGTGTAAATGAAAAATAGTGCTGCTGACATTGGTGGGCGGTACAGAAATTCACTCTCCGTTATTGCCTTTCCAATTCCATGTTTCTGCTTTCTGTTTAGCTACTGTGTAGCTGATATAGTGACTTGCACAAAATGTGAACAGGAAGGATGATCTCTCTTGAGTGGCGGTTAATAAGAACTTCCTGAAAGTAATGTTTCTATTTGAACATCAAAGAAATTGATGACCAAGGAAGCTTGGGGTTTTCAGTTCTAAGGTTTTCCCCTCGATACCTTCTTGTATTGTCTGCTCTTCTTGTAAAACAGAGGTTTAATGTGAAGGTGTGACTGCCAACTTCAGTCTTCATTTTTGTCTACCTGTGTGTGCTCCACTAAGCCATCTCCTAATAGATGGTTTACAGGTTACTAAACAGTTTGAGATGGCTGACAAAAAAACATTGCTGACCCACTTCAGTCCTGGTATAAGAATCCAGGCTTCACTGGAGTTGCAACAGCTTGCACCCGCTGAATTTGGCTCACTCTTCCTTGAAACAGTTTTATCCATGCTACAATGGCATAACCCTTTAGCAAATGCAGCATGGTACTCTAAGGCCATTTGTGCTAGCTTCCTTATTTTACATGCTGTTGTTTGCTCTTTTGTAGTGCTTGTAACTTGCAGCAAGAGCCTTCAGACACTTATAGGGCTTCAATAATGCTACACAATAGCCATGGGCTTTTAATAAGTTTACTTATAGGAGGCTATTTGGTAGAGAAGTGACAAATTACTTAGGTTTTTATAGTGGTGATTTCATGTTTCACTTTGCTAAGAATCCCCTTCCTTTATTCTGTACAAATGCTTCAGTGGCATGTCAATATTCCATAAAGCTACACTAAAAACTACCTGAGCGACAATCTTTTTTTTCCCCCCATAGTTTCTTTCAGACTTTAGAACAGATAATGTTCTGTTTTCCCCAAACCACCACTTCTGGAGTAAGCAACACTTCTCTCTCTCTCTCTCTCTTCTGACCCACATGTGAGCGGGCAGGCAGGCAGTAACCAGAACTAACCAAACTGTCAAAGTGAACTCTAACTGAAGGCACTGCACTTCAAAAGATGCACAAAACAAGGAGCCTAACCAAAGGGTTCTGCATGAGGTTGAGCTGGGGAAATCTCAAATCACTTTCATTTGAGAGGAGATTGCACAATGCTTTACTTTTTCTCCTGGACGGTGATAGGCACTGTAGAGATACAAGGAGGAGAGCATGAATTCTCAGTTCATCTGTTTCAGGGTCTTGTCACAGGAGTCATAACTCAGTTTGACTTGAAGTGCCCAGTTGCTGTTGTGGCATCACAGCCTTGTGGATAAAGGGGTTGAAGATCCAACTTTCCTCCAGACTGCTGGAGGAGGGATGGGAAACAATCCTGCAGTTGGGTGTGAAGTGCTCTCAGCTGATGTCTTGAGTGCTTGGTAGCTTCCTCATGCTTCAGACTTCTAGGAAACGGGTAGACAAGAACTACTACAGGCTTCCTCCTTGTGCTCCTGAAGACCAGGTGCAAAGCTTTGGCTGAAAGCCTCTAAGCTGTCATGAAGGGAGGATATGAATCCCGCACCCTTAGACAGGGGAGCTCAGCTGTTAGGTGGTATGCTTCTGCTGTCTTGCTGACATTTCTGGGCACCTGAGACACAGTGAAGGCTTAAGCAAAAGGTGACTCTAGAGGATGTGGGGGAAACTACCCTTGTGTTCTGAATTTAAACTGGCTGCACTTCACAACAGAACTACCTCACTTCAGTGCTATTGCTAGAAAGGGAGCTTGCATTGTTAGAGCAACTCATAAAGTCCAAGCTCACAGCGAAGCTTTTAAGTTAGCTACTCTAACAATAAAGCTGTTCAGAAAATGTAATAGCAAAACATTTTGACATCTCTGCAAGACAGTCCTCTTTTTTTTTTTTTTTTTTTTTCCAGTTCTGTTTAACTGCTTCATGAAGGATGTGGTGTCATTTTGGAGGTGTCTTCATACACCAAGCTCTTTGAAGGAAACCGACATTAGGTGTGACTATTTTGGATGTATGACCATACTGATCGTGTTTGTCATCAGCTTTGCAGATCTATGCAGACAGTAATAACATACTCTCACTTAATGGGGGGGACAGCAGAGTGCTTCTTGAAATGTCTTGGATGAGTGACTTAAACTGTGCCAAGACAGCTTATAGAGGAATGGCTCTACAGCAGGATTGTATCTAACAAATGCTAGTAGCTGACAGCACCAGACACCTAATTTGAATTGCTAGGAAAATTAGTGTTTTGGTGTTTGAAAGCAGTTGGTCTGATACCCTTGGCCATATTATTAATGTGGGTTGCTTAGCAAAAACACAACTTTTCACTCTAGCTGCTTCTTGCCCTTGAACTCCTGAAACTGTGTCTTTTGTGCAGAGAAGGAAAACTTTCCAGGTTAACACATAATACTGTTGGGTGACTTGTAGAAGTGAGATTGGGGTGTCTTTTGCATTACTCAGACTGGCAGTGTAGTCTTGGGTTTTTCCCCCAGGCTTTAAGTTTAAATGAAGATTTCATACTATTGGCATCTGGGACTTTAGAATATGCTTCTTTCAAAACAATACATTGTAACTATATGTGCTGCAATAACTCAAATGCAGAAAATTTGCCACTACCCTTTTAAAAAAATCATGCTGGATCACTCTGGTAAAGGCTAACCAACAAGTGCAATTCAATTGAGATTCTGCCTTGGGCCTTAGCAAAGACTGCTCTCTTTCTCATGCCTGGCATTTCAGTTCTGTGTTATGGATGTCCTGTTTTGTGGGTTGGGGTTTATAATAAGGGGTGCTGGGTGCAGGTTTAATGCTGTCTTAATAGAGGTTGTAGCAGTCCATTTACTTTCTACACTGAATATACAAGCAAGTGATTAGATGGAAACAATAGAAGTCCTTCCTGAAGAGGACATTGTTACAGGGCTCATGTTGTGTGTTTACTTCAGTTGCTTCTGTACTATTTCTGGCAACCCTTATGCTTTCTTTTTCCTACCCCCTCAGTGATGATGATCCTGCTCTAGCTAATGAAAATAGAACATTAAAAAAATAAAACCCTACACACCTTGCACTTCTGTTCAGTAGGCTCCTGTTTGTTGTGGCTGATAGTTGTTGCTCCAAAACTGATATACAACCTGCTGGTGGCATTCAACATGGAATGCGGTATATCTTGGTACTAGAGGAATGAATACTTTTCCCTTGGAGAAGCACAGTGTCAAATGGTAACAGACAAAAATCAGTGTAGTAAGGGATAACAAGCAGAAAGTCAAACATTCAGCAGAATGCACAAGTCCTAGTAACATAAGATGGTTACCATGCCTTATTAAAGGTTAAATATAGCATCTTGTTCCAACAGAACACAAAAAAGCAGATTTAACAATTGTGCTTGCTTTTGTGGGTTAATATTGGGACCCAAATGTTACATATAACTCTTACTTTTGCTGGGCTGTCACTTCAGTGGAGGATGGCTGATCACTCACCAGGCTGCTTCTTCCCGTGACTGAGGATGTTACCTCTTTTTAAAGCATGAAGCAGGGAAATGTCTGTCTGCCACATCAGTCTGGTATGAAAACATGAACAATGGAATTTTAACTAGCCGAAATTTGAACTGAAACTAAAGTTGTAAGCAAAACTGGCCACATGGGAGTCACATCAAAACTTTCTTCTCACATGACTTGCTTTTTTAATGTTACTCAGACTTTCAATGTAACTTACTGCACTAATGTTTAGCAGAGAGCTTAAATTTAATCAGATATACCTTTCAATTGCTAGGCCTCTCATTTGAATGTGTTTGTCCACTTCTAACTAAGATCTTGAGTGCATTAGACACACTTTAGTCATATTCTTGCTTGGAAACTTTACATAAAGTAAGACACTGAAAGGGGAGGCTCCCAAAGAAACCATTCCATTTCAGTAAGACCAAAACCAAAAATTGGTCTAGTTGTGGCCCAAACTTTGCTGAACTTCCTGATCTCCGCAAGGGTTATTTTCAAAGCTCTCTGTATGCAGTCTAGAGAACATCTGTTAAGTCTTTCCAGCTACTAATATCTTTAAAAGTTGTAGGCATGGGGATGTAAAGCTGGAAGGCCTGAAGTGTGTATGTGGGGGGCAGGAAGGTGTCTTGGAGGAGGGGAGGCAGCATACTGGCATCTCTAGTTTGCTGTAGACCTTGAAATGCTACATACCTAAACTGTTATCCTACACACAGTGATCTTGACCAAGAAGTCTGCCAGTATGGTTACCACTGTTGGAAGGGACCATAAGGATCTCATTTGCTTCACGGTCTTATGAGAAAATGTATAAATAAACCACTTTTATACATATTTAGATACTGCTATTGGTATCTAAATATGTATAAAAATTCAATAGGAAGGCCTCCCTGTAATATTGCTGTTGAAGGCTGAGAGGCAGTGATGACTGCATGGAGACTTAAAAGTGAAAAGGACAAACTAGGGTTGTGCTGAAAAAGATTGGCATGGCCTAGTCTAACATTAGAATCCTGAAGTTCTGTACAACTGATAATCCCATTAGAGCATGCGTAATGAGGTGGCTTTGAATCTTTCTGCCAATAACTTGCTATCCTTGTACTTGCCAAATAGTGGTTTCATGGCATCTATTTGCGCCGAGGTAATACTGCATAACAATCAAGGCTCAGTTGCCATTTTGAAGGCATGCAGTAAAGAGTCCTTTCCCAAGGAGCTTACAGTTGAGGCCACAGCACACTGCAGCAGGTCCATGAGACAGATGGGAGGTGGGGACAAAAATGGAAGAGAGAAGACAAGGTAACAAAGTAAGCGAATATCCTACAATAAGAGGGCTCAACTTGCCACTTGAAATGAAGGTGCAGCTGGGATGAGGGTCAGCAATCTTCAAAGCTCTAAAAGTGAGAATTTGGGTAGGGGTGAAAACCTATTATATTAAATTAAGACCTCCTTATGGTTAAAAGGCCCTTAGTGGTGCTTATCTATGCTGAAAATTGTTAGCAGGGCAACTACAGGAAAATAACTGACTATCAGTTTATGGTATGAGCCCCATCTTAAACACCAATTTTTTAAAGAAAGGTGTAGGGTTCTATGCTAGTGTTTTTGTCTTCTCTTTGGCAAATTTGTATGGGCTGCAGAGGTCTACTTGTAAGGCATACATGAGATGAAGGAAAACTTGATGATGGTACTACAATTTACACATTAGACCACTAATCTGTGTCCTCTCAATACCCCCACCAGTAACAAGCTTTGTGGCTGGTACTTAAATGCATCTTTAATATACAGTTTTTTGTGAGGTGCAGAACAGCTCTGCTTATTGTCTACATGTAGCAAGTAGAGAAACTAAGCTCAGTTACCCTCTCAGTGGAATTTCTTTCACTGTAATATGCATAATTTTAACCTAGAAATCTACCAGTTTGTTAAATAACAGTGAATGTTAACTAAAGCTGAAATTTCAGTGAATGTCAAATACAGGTAGTCCCAACTTCAGGGTAAACTATTCAGATTCAGAATAAATGGTGGTTATCCAAGAGCTTTGCTCTGTGTCCACTTCCAGCTGACTGTTCTGTTAGCTCCAGCACCCTGTCAGTGAGATCTGAACATCCATGCCTTATGGATTGCAAATGCTCTTGGTAACTGCTTGACATAGAAAGCCTTGCCAATGACAAGGCTGTTACCGGTGCATAGTATTCTTAAACATAAAGATAATTCAGGTTATAAACCAACTGGCTTCTCATGTGTCCTATGCTCTTAAGTGTAAGGGTTAGCTATGACTCTCTTAAGGCTCATATAAGAGGAATGGACTCAGTGAAACCAGAATTGACTTTTTAGACTCTTGTAGATTTAAAAAACAAACTAGTTCTTAGAATGCTATTTTCATCCATATGTGTCAAAGCACAAGAGTTAAGAAATATGGAAGCAACAATGTAATGCTAGGTTGATGCCCTATTAGATGCTCTAGTTCAGGGGTTCTCACAACAAATTTTCTGGCGGCCTCAGTGTAGCCACGAACACTGGTTGTTGGCCGCTCTGACAATTTTTTTCCCTACTACTTAATTAACTTTAGGAAAAACAAATAAATATGCATGTTTACGTATCCAAATCATTGTAATTGATTGATGTAGGTTTTTTGTAGACTCAATAGTAAAAACAATGTACAGTTATATTTTGGTGCCCCTGGCCCCCACTGCTTCCACCCCATTGCCTTGGGCTCCCTTCCGTGGCCTCAGACCCCAGGCTCACCCCACTTCTTGCCTCTGAACCACAGCACTTGGTAAGGCCAGCCCTGCAGAAGCCCAGAGCCCGAGCCCCATGGCTGGAGTCAGGGGTGGGCTGAAGCCCAGAGCCCACAGGCAGAGCCCTGCTACTGTGTGGGGGCTGAAACTCAAAGCCCTCAAGTTGGGGGAAGTGGACTGAAGCCCACCTCAGGAGGCCTGCAGCTGATGCCTGCTGCCAGAGCCCTGCGGCTGCAGCCGGGTGAGGGGGGGACTATAGCTTGTCACCGGAGCCTCTGGCAGAACCGGGGGAGGCTGAAGCCCGCCCCTGAGTGCTGCAGGGCGGGGCCACTGCTTTGCCCCCCTCTCCTTCTCTGCACAAGAGGCTGCTGTGGCTGCAGGAAAAACCCCTGGTGGCCGCATTTGAGAAACACTGCTCTAGTTCAACCAGAAGCTATGGGCTTGATGCAATAATTAGTGGGGGGCGGAATTTTATTTTATTCTGCAGGAGGTCAGACTAGATATTCAGTCCTTTTTGGCCTGAAATCTATAAATGGCTGCTCTCACTGGCCCACCTTGATTATCATACACATTGTAAGGAGAGTGATCACTTTAGATAAGCTGTTACCAGCAGGAGAGTGGGGTGGGGGAGAGAGAACCTTTTGTAGTCGTAAACACCCATTTTTTCATGCTTTGTGTGTATAAAAAGATCTTCTATACTTTCCACAGTATGCATCCAATGAAATGAGCTGTGGCTCACGAAAGCTTATGCTCAAATTGTTTAGTCTTTAAGGTGCCACAAGTACTCCTTTTCTTTTTGCGAATACAGACTAACACGGCTGTTACTCTGAAAAATGCTCTCACTGTAGAGACTAACTATGCCTGTTATATGTGTGAGAGTTGGCAAGATGTTAGTTTACACTGAACTATTCCTACAGTCTTGTATTACAAAAGCATTTGTTTACCTGATGTTCTGTTTCATATTTTTAGGCAGAAGTAAATCTAATTTGGGTTGGACGCCTCTTCACCTTGCATGCTATTTTGGACATGGCAGTGTGGTCAAGGATTTACTGAAGGTATACTTAATGCTGTCTCTTTCTAAATGAGTCTGAAGATCCTACATAAAACAAGATAGTATCATGAAAAACATTAATACTATTTCATGATACCACAAGTTGTTCAAAGGACCAATAGCTATTGTCTACTTCTGAAAGGTCAAAATAGACAGGAAAAGTGGTTTTTCTACTGAAGTGCAAACTGTTTACTTGAAGAGAAGCAATGCAATTCTAAATGAAGACTATGAACTATCCTTCTCACTAGTCATGTGCATGCTTGTATTTAATTACATGCTTGTACATGTACATATTTACATGGGAAAATATATGGAAATGTAGCAGGGTACAGATTATCCAACATTCTTGGAATGCATCGGAGACAACTGTTACAGAAAGTGGAGAAAGCAACTAGGAGAAGAGGCAATTCTGGTTTTGATTCTGACAAACAGAGGAACTAGTAGAGAAGTTGAAGGTGGAAGGCAGCTTGCGTGAAAGTGATCATGCAATGCAATAGAGTTTGATTCTAATGAATGGTAGGAGGGAAAACAGCAGAATAAAGATGATGGACTTTGAGTTTGCTAAAGTCTGCCTTCTTACAGGATTGGTAGGAAAGATCCTATAGGAATCAAGTAGAAGGAGAAAAATGTTCAGGAGAGTTGGCAATTTTTTTAAAGAAACCTTATTAAAGGCACAAGGACAAATGATCCCAATGTGGTAGGGAAGATAGGAAGTATAGGAGACTTCTTTAATGACCTGAAACTGTCATTCAAAATGTGGAAACTACATCAAATTACAAAAGACAAATATTAAAAAACAAACCCACAAGCATGTAGGGACAAAATTAGAAAGGCCAATGTACAAAACAAGATTAAACTAGCTAGGGACATAAAGGATAACAAACATTTTACAATCCATGAGAAGCAAGGGGAAGACCAAGGACTGGGTAGGCACATTACTCAATGTGGAAGGAGAGACAATAACAGAAAATGCATCCGATGAAGTGAGCTGTAGCTCACGAAAGCTTATGCTCAAATAAATTGGTTAGTCTCTAAGGTGCCACAAGTACTCCTTTTCCTTTTTTTTGAGAAAATGCAGCAATAGCTGAAATGTTAAATGGCTTTTTTGTTTGCATTTACCAAACAAGTTAGTTGGAGATTGGATAACTAACACAGTGAAAATCACTGTAAAATGGGGTAGGATCTGAGACTCAAATAGGAAAAAAAACCAAGTTAAGTATCTTCAAGTCTGCAGGGCCAGATGAAATACTTCCTAGAATATTTAAGGAACTAGCTGAAGAGATCTCTGATCCATTAGCAATTAAGACTACATTTTAGTCATGGGTATTTTTAGTAAGTCATGGACCAGTCACAAGCCGTAAACAAGAATTCACAGCCTGTAACCTGTCCATAACTTTTACTATATACCCCTAAGTAAAACTTGGACTGGGGCCCTGTGGGTGCTTGGGGAGGGGCCCTGTCCCTGCCATGAGCTCTGGCTCCACAGCTCCCATTGGCCAGGAACTGCAGCCAATGGGAGTTGTGGGGGCAGTGCCTGGAGGCGGGGGCAGTGCACAAAGTTCCTTGGCCCCTTTGCCTAGGAGCTGCGGGGACATGCTGGCTGCTTCTGGGGAGCCCCCCGAGGTAAGTGCTCCCCCAACCCCCTGCCCCAACCCTGAGCCCCCTCCCCATACCCAAGATGCTGCTGCTGAGGGGCAAAGGGTGCAGTGGCCCAAGACTGCCCCAGCAGCAGTTGGTGCAGCTGGCCCAGGGGCTATCCGAGCAGCTGCACTGGCCGCTGCAGAAGTCACAGCTATCGTGAAAAGTCACAGAAACTGACCTTCGTGATAGACATGCAGCCTTAGTAATTATCTTTGAGAACTCATAGAAGTTGAGGGAGAGACCCAAGGACTGGAGAAAGGCAAATATACAGTAGTACCTGTCTATATTTGCTTTTCATAAACAACCCAGGGACTTAGACTAGTTAGCTTAACTTCGGTATCTGGAAAATTAATGATGCAAATCAATCAATTTATAAGCACCTTCCTAGAAGAAAATAAGGTGTTAAGTAACAGTTGACATGCTTTGACATGATTTGCTCTTGACAAATCCAACCTAATATCCTTTTTTGGTAGAATAGGGGAGACAGTAGAGATGATGTATCTTGACTTTAGAAAGGCTTTGATTCTGTCTCTCTGATTCTCAAAAACTAGAGAAATATATGGTACACAACTGGTTTGGAAAATCATTCTAAGACTAGTTATCAAATGTTTCACAATTGAGCTGGAAGGGCATATCAAGGGGAGTCCCGCAGGGGTCTGTCCTGGGTCAATTTCTAATTAATATTTTCATAAATAATTTTAATAATGGCATAGAGAGTGCATTTATGAAGTTCATGGGTGATGCAAACCTGGAGGGGTTGCAGTTGCTTTGGAGGACAGGATTAGAATTCAAAATGATATTGGCAAACTGGAGAAATGGCCTGAAGTAAATAGGATGGAATTCCATAAGGACAAATACAAAGTACTGTGCTTAGGAAGGAATAATCAATTGCACAAATACAAATATTGTATTTATTTATAGGGAAATAACTGTCTAGGAAGGAGTACTGCAAAAATGGATCTGGGGGGTGTGATACAGGAAGGCCAGGGAGAGTGGTAGAGGGGAAATATATAAGCCCTAGGCTAATTAAGGTGTGGTTCCCTGTAGACTAGGGAGGGTGGCTACAGGTTAATTGGAGCACCTGTAGTCTATTAAGGCCCTGTCACAAACCCAATAAAACCCCCTGCTTCAGGCAGGCAGAGAGGGGGAGGAAGGAGAGGACTGGAGTGTGGAGGTGTTTTGAAAAACCAGGGAGACCCTGCCCCAGCAGGGGAGGGAGACTCCCTTCCACAGCGTCTAAGAACTGAAGGTACCCCACCCAACGGGGAACAGGGTAAGAACCCGCAGGGGTTGAGAGGGGCTGGGGCTCAGAGTGAGGAGCAAACCTAGACCCCTCCCCTGCTTCCCTCCTCTACCACCTACCCGGGCCACTAGCGGGATCCTCTGTGCCCCAAGAGCAGGGGCAAGGGGTGGCATCTTAGCCCCCTGCCAAGAAAAGCGCAGGACCTACCATACTAACATCGGCTATCTTGTCACAGGGGTTATAGTGGATCACAAACTAAATATAAGTCAGTTATATAATACTGTTGCCAAAAAAACCACATCACTCTGGATGTATTAGCAAGAGTGTTGTAAGCAAGACACAAGAATAATCATTCCACTCAACACTGATAAGGCCACAACTGGAGTATTGTCCAGTTCTGGATACTACACTTCGGGAAAGATGTGGACAAATTGGAGAAAGTCCAGAGGAGAGCAAATTATTGAAGGTCAGGAAAACATTGTAGAAAAATTTGTTTCATCTGGAGAAGAGAAGACTGAGAGGAGACAAGTCTTCAAATACATGAGGTTATAAAGAGGGTAATAAATTCTCCTTCTCCGCTGAAGACAGAGGAAGTAGTAATAGGCTTAAATTTCAGCAAGGGAGACTTGGGTTAGACATTAAGAAGCTTTTCCTAATGTAAGGGTAGTTAAGCACTGGAATAAATTGCCTAGGGAGGTTGTAGAATCTTCATCATTTGGAGGTTTTTCAGAACCGGTTACACCAACATTTGTCAGGGATGGTTGAGGTTAGGGATTCTCAAACTTCACTGCACCATGACCCACTTCTGACAACAAAAATTACTTCACGACACCAGGACCAGGGACCAAAGCCCCACTGCCCTGGATGGCAGGACCAAAGCCCAAGCCCCACCTGTCTGGGCAGTGGGGTCAAAGCTGAAGCTCAAGGTCTTCGGCCTCAGGCAGGGGTCCTGCAACCTGAGTCCTGCTGCCCAGGGCTGAAGCCCTCAGGCTTTGGCTTTGCCCTCAGTAGTCGGGCTCAGGCTTCAGCCCTAGGCTCCAGCAAGTCTAAACCAGCCCTTGTGACCCCATTCAAAGGGGGTCACATCCCACTTTGGGGACCTGTCCCACAGTTTGAGAAACACTGGGAACTGCTCAAACTGGGGCAGGCCTCCCAAGGGAGGCAGAGGAATGTGTTGGGGAGTGAGAGCTGTGTGCAACCTGGTGCTCAGATTTCCATCCCCGACCCCTGGGACGTGGCTCAGGCTGTCCTTCCCACCCCTACTTCAATCCCTCACCAGGAAGTGCAGCATGGGCTCAGGCTCTCCTTCCCCCACATCCCTCACCTGAAGGTGGCAGGGCTCTGGCTGTCAGCTTTGGGGTGGCAGCAGCAGCATCAGTATCCCTTTTCATAGCAGACTTAGCTCCCCATTGCAACCCTTACTTCTGCTATTCATCAAGATCACTTTTCACATTGCCTCCTTTGCTTCTGTGCTGCTACTGGCAGGGCACTGCCTTCAGAGCTGGGTGCTCGGCCAACAGCTGCTGCTCTCCACTCTGCTTTCAGAGCTGGGTGGCAGTATATGTATGTGGAGGGAGGAGGCCATAAACTACTGAAGACACAAAGAAGGGGTACCTGTTCAAATAAGTTTGAGAACTGCTGGTCTAGATAATACTTAGCCCTGCCTCAGTGCAGGGGACTCCCCAAGATGACTGTCAGGTCCATTCCAGTCCTACACTTCTATGTGCTTATGTACTGTTGCGCTTGTAGGCAGCTAACTACATAGGAGCTGCAAGGGGGGGTAACCCCCCACCCCACCCCAAGGTCAGCACCTCCCCAACCCCCTGCCCCTAGCCCTGAGCCCCCTCACATACACCCAAAGTGCTGCTGCCAGAGCAGCCCCTGAGCCAGCACCAGCCACTGCAGAAATTCCAGAGGTCATGGAAAGTCACAGAATCAGTGACCTCAGTGACTGACTTGCAGCCTTAGGCATAACCAGTGTTGGCAGTTGAGCTCCACAAAAGCTAACCAACTATCTGCAAAGTACAGCTAATTGCAGCATTCAGATACATGCACCAAAAACAAATGTGCCTTTTTTTGCTTTTTTCTGAAAGCCACACAGTGAATGGGAGGGGTGACTTCTTTTAAATTGATTTGGAAATAAAAAGAATAGATCTAGGTAAACTTGGATCTGGTTCTACATGAAAAACTAATAATCAGGAGATTCTGGTCTGGGAAACCGACTGAGATTTTGCTACAAGGATTCCATCTCTAGTCCTACAAACAAAGCTAGTATCAACAAATGATACTGTCCCTGACCCAAAGACTTTGCTTACAGCATAGAGTAAACAAATGGCAAGCCTTCAGGGTGGGAAGGGGGGAGATTGTCAAATCCTCTTAATATGTGGATCAGTGTCGTACAAAAATGGGTGAGTGCTAGTGCCCTTCTTACAGACAGAGTGATGGATGGTGACTTGTCCTGGGGTAAAAAGGAAAGGTGTTTCATGTCCTCTGTGTATATAAATCTCCCCACTTGTATTTTCCACTGAATGCATCTGATGAAGTGAGCTGTAGCTCATGAAAGCTTATGGTCTAATAAATGTGTGAGTCTCTCAGGTGCCACCCTGAGAGACTCAGGGTGGCCCTCCTTTTCTTTTTGCGGATACAGACTAACACGGCTGCTCCTCTGAAACCTGTACTAGGGCAGTGGTTCTCAACCAGGGGCCCAGGACCACGGGGGGAGAGCAGGTTTCAAGGGGGCTGCTGAGCGGGGTCTGTGTTAGACTCGCTGGAGCCCAGGGTAGAAAGCTGAAGCCCACCACAGGGGGCTGAAGTCTGGGGCCCTGAACCCCACCACCTGAGGCTGAAGCCAAACTTAACTTCGCAGGGGCCCCTGTGGCATGGGCCCCCAGGCAGTTGCCCTGCTTGCTACTCCTTAATGGTGGCTCTGGTTTTTATATGAAGAAAACCAGTTGTTGTGGCACAGGTGGGCTGTGGAGTTTTTATAGCATGTTGGAGGGGCCTCAGAAAAAAGAGGTAGGGAACCCCTGTCCTAGGGTACTTTGTGGCAGTCAGGAATAGACCTAATCTCCTGACTCTAGTCTCGTGAGCTCAATCACTAGACCAGTTTCCCAGCTATAGTAAAACCACATAGTCCCATTAGTTCTGTTGCATATGCAGCTTGTCCTGATCTTTCTGACCATTTTAAGAGCAGGGTTCAGCAGGTGCAGTGTTTTGAAATGGGATTTTAAAGCGTGAGAGAGAGAGCAAGGATCTCGGGTGCAGGAAAGGAATGGGAAACATGGAGCTGAGATTCAGACAGGAATACAGTGATACATTGCCTTTATGGTGCATAGAGGAGTTTCCACTTGATGTGGAAAAGGGCAGGGAGCCAGTGAAGAGATCATGAAACCTGCTAGTCATGGCCCATTTAATCTTTTGAAGAGGAGTGTATAATAGTACTACAGTGTGATGTCTTTCAACTGGAGTGAAACTAAAGCTTTAATGGCTGCTGCATGCAACTTGTGTGTGGAGATGAGTGACAGCAAAACAAAGGCCATGTCTACACCTTAAAAAGTTAAGTCGACCCAGCCACATCACTCAGGAGTGTGAAAAATCCACACCCCTGAGCAAAGTGGTTAAGCCAGCCTAACTGCTGGCATAGACCGCTCTAGGGCTGTGTCTACGCTACCCCTTATTTCATATAACTTATATTGCTCAGTGGGGTGAATAACCCCCCCCCCCCAATTATGTAAGTTACACCGACATAAGCACCAGTGTGGACAGCACTATGTCGGCAGGAGAGCTTCTCCTGCCAACATGGCTACCGCTGCTCGTTGGCGGTGGTTTAATCATGTTGACGGGAGAGCTCTCTCCCATAGAGTGACTACACTAGAGGTCTTGTAGCAGTGCAGCTGTATTGATACAGCGGCATCACTGTAAACTCTCTAGTGTAGACATAGCCTAGGCTGACTAAAAAATTCTTCTGTTGAACTAGCTACTCTCTCTCAGGGAAGTAGCTTAACTACAGAGATGGGAGAACCCCTCCTGTTAACGGTCGTGAGTATCTATGCTGAAGCAGTAGAACAGCGCTGCTGTAGTGGTTTAAGTGTAGACGCAGCCCCAATCTGAACTTGTTCCCTTTCACAAGGGCTCCTTGTAGATTTCCTCCCCTCTAAATCTTTCCATGTTATCACTGATTTACAACTATACTGAGACACACAGAAAACCTCCCAATTCATTCTTGACAAATAGGTTATAAACCAAGAGGTGTCAGTAACACTGAGTTCTTTCTGGATGGAATATTTTTTGTAGAGGTAACCTACTGACCTGCCTGTGTTTCCAGCATTACTTAACTGTCTCTGTCTTGGCAGGCTGGTGCAGAAGTAAACGTGTTAAACGATATGGGGGACACACCACTGCATCGTGCAGCCTTCACTGGACGCAAGGTAAAAATACACTATTCTCTAACTACTTGTGTTCCACCCTGTGTGGTTCACCCAGCATAAGATTGTGTCCCCATAAAGGGTGCTATAATGTGTCAATGGAGTCTAAAATGTTAAGTGGTTTAAAATAGTAACACATTGAAGCCAAAGCATTTGAGGTAGGAAAAATCCTTGTAGCAGCACATTCCAGAAAGCTACCAAAGGACTAATTTTAATGTGCCTAAAATCTAGTCTGTCTAATCCTCAGTTTGGTTTGTTTGTTTTTTTGGTTTTTTTGGCAGAGAAAGAACTGCTTTTTTTTCCCTGGGGGGGTAGCGGAGACCTCAGTCTTCCTTCTCCATAGCTACTGTTTCCTTTTTTTGTTCTCCAGGATGTGGCTGGCAGCTGGAAAGGGGGAACATAGTCATTTTCCTCTGTTGAAGCACTTTACCTGCATGCCTGTCTGTGCAGTCATTCCTACGTCACTCGTGCTATGTGCGTGGGGTAAAGCACTTTAGTGCGGGAGCATAGCACTAATCAGCCTCTCAGCTGTAAATGCTGGTTGTCAGATGGAAGCCAGTTTGGAGGGATGGGAAAAGTAGCTATTTCTGCATACAGCTTGACAGACCACTTATTAATCTCTCACAAACCATAGCAGAAAGCAGTGATGCTCAGATGCCAGTGGTTCAGAAGTCAAATTATCGATAAACATTACCCAAATGAGCCACAGTAGTGTGAATTCATTGTTGCATTTACTATACTACCTGTATATTCATATTTAAACAGTATGATGGAAGATACTTAGTTTTTACTTATATTTCCCATCATACTGTTTTAAATAGACTATAATTATTTTCACAGCAAAATGACTATTTTATCAACTACAACTGGTTAATAACATAGTAAAAGCATCGTGAATGGTTAATAATTAAATCAGTATTTTAATATCATGTGCTGCAAATAGCCTCAGGAGACACATTAAAGAGCCCCTTGCAGCTCAAGACTCTGTCTGAGTATCGCTGCCATAAAGAATAATTAGACTTAATTTAAGAATGGCCATATTGAGTCAACCACTTGTCCATCAAACCCAGTATCCCATCTAGTGGGCAGTGCAGATGCTTCACAGGGAATGAACAGAACCTGTCAGAGTGATCCGTCTCCTGTCATCTAGTCCCAGTGTCTGGCAGTCAAGAGGTTTAAGGACATGCAGAGCATGGGGTTGTACCCTGACCATCTTGGCAAGTAGCCACCGATGGACCTGTCCTCCATGAACATATCTAATTCTTTTTTTGAACCCAGTTATACTTTCGACCTTCACAACATCCCCAGGCAACAAGTTCCACAGGTTGACTGTCTACTGCATGAAAAAGTACTTCCTTTATGGGTGTGTGCGCGTAGGGGGGTTGTTTTTTTTTTTAAACCTGCGGCCTTTTAACTTCATTGGGTGACCTCTGGTTCTTGTTATGTGAATAATAAATATTTCCCCCTACACTTTCTCCATACCATTCATAATATTACAAACCTCTATCATGTCCCCCCATAGTAGTCTCTTTTCTAAACTGAACAGTCCTAGTCTTTTCAATCTCTCCTTGTATAAAAGTTTTTCCGTACCCCTAATGACTTTCATTTGCTTTTCTCTGTACCTTTCCTATTCATCTTGTTTGAGATGGCATGACCAGAACTGCACGCAGTATTCAAGGTGTGAGTGTACTATGCATTTATGTAGTGGTATTGTATTTTCTGTCTTATTCCTTTCTAATGGTTCCTAATGTTGTAGTGGCAGTCAAAAAAGCTAACACATTGAGCAGATATTTTCAGAGAATTATTTGACTCCAAGATCTTTTTAGAATGGTAACAGCTAATTTAGACCCCATCATTTTGTATTTATAGTCAGGATTATTTTTTCTAATGTGCATTACTTTGCACATATCAGACTTGAATTTTATCTGCTGTTTTGTTGCCCAGTCACCCAGTTCTATGAGGTTCCTTTGTAACTCTTCGCAACCGGTTTTGGACTTGCCTATCTTAAGTAACTTTGTATCATCTGCAAATTTTGCCACCTTACTGTTTACCCCTTTTTCCAGACCATTGATGAATATGTTGAACAGCACTGGTCCCAATACAGATCCCTGCTATTTACCTTTACCCCCTTTACCTCTCTTCATTTTGAAAATTCAGCGTTTATTCCTACCCTTTGTTTCCTATCTTTTAACCAGTTACTGATCCATGAGAGTACCTTCTCTAATCCCATGATTGCTACTTTGCTTAAGAGTCTAGTCAAGAACTTTCAGAAAGTCCCAGTACACTGCCAACTGGATCACCCTTGTCCATGTGTGTTGACGCTCTCAAAGAATTCTAATAGATTGAGGCATAATTTCCCTTTACAAAAGCTGTGACTCTTCCCCAACATCGTGTTCATCCATGTGTCTGATAATTGTGTTCTTTACTGTAGCTTCAACAAATTTGCTGGATACTGAAGTTAGGCATACCAGCCTATAATTGCCAGGATTGCTTCTGGAGCCTTTTTTAAAAAATCGGTGGTGTTAGTTGTCCTCCAGTCATTTGGTACAGAGGCTGATTTAAGTGATGATAGGTTCACAGTTGGTAGTTTTGCAACTTCATATCTGAGTTCCTTCAGAACTCTTGGGTGAATACCATCTGGTCTTAGTGACCTGTTACTAGGGCCCTACCAAATTAATGGTCATAGGAATTTAAAAATCACAAATTTCATGATTTCAGCTATTTAAATCTGAAATTTCATGGTGGTGTAATTGTAGGGTCCTGACCCAAAAAGGAGTTTGGGGGGCTGGGTGTCACAAGGTTATTGTAGGGGGTGTTTCAGTACTGCTACCCTTACTTCTGCACTGCTGCTCATGGTGGCACAGCCTTCAGAGCTGGGCAGCTGGAGAGTGGCAGCTGCTGGCCGGGAGCCCAGCTCTGAAGGCAGAGCAGCCGTCAGCAGCAGCACAGAGGTAAGGAGGGCATGGTATGGTATTGCCACCCTTACTTCTGTGCCGCTGCCTGCAGAGCTGGGCCCTCAGTCAGCAGCCACCTCTCTGGCCGCCCAGCTCTGAAGGTAGCGCAGAAGTAAAGGGTGGCAATATAGTGACTCCCGCTCCCCCCCCAAAATAACCTTGTGACCCTGCTGCAACTCCCTTTTGAGTCAGGACCCCCAATATGAGAAATTCTAGTTCTCCTCTTCCCTGGTGAAATCTATATAGTATGGGGGGGGAAGCACACAAGACCAAATTTCATGGCTGGGGGGGGGGGGAGAGGGAGATCAGATTTCATGCTCAGTGACACATTTTTCACGGCTGTTAATTTGATAGAGCCCTACCTATTACTGTTTAACTTGTCAGTTTGTTCCAAATTTCCTCTTTTGACGCCTCAATCTGGGATAATTCCTCAGATATGTCACCTTTTTTAAAAAGAGGCTCAGGTGTGGGAATATCCCTTTGCATCTGTCTTCACTGCAGAAGATGTAAGAATTCATGGGCAGCGGGTATAATAGTCCAGGGAAGGTTTGGTCTTCTCTCACGCTGCTGCTGACCCACTGCTAGACACCTGAGCTGTGGTGGTCCCGCCCCTTCTCCGAGGCCCCCACCACCTGCTGCTGTCTCCCCTCAGGGGCATGGGGGAGTGAGGAGTGACAGAGAGCCAGCAGTGGGTGGGGGAGTGAGGAGGCTCCAGCCGGCGGGCCAGCCCAGCACTTGGGGGTGGGGGAGAGGCTGGGGCTCCTCCAGTCCTGTGGGGGCCCCTTAGGGCTTCTGTTATGGGGGTGGAGGGGTCTGGAGCAGAAGGGGCAGGGCTGGTGGGCTAGCCTCCCCAGAGCGGGGTTTCATCTGGTGCCCATGAAAGAATTCATTTAGCTTTTATGCAATGGTCTTGTTTTCCTTGAGTGCTGCTTTAGCACCTTGATCATCCAGTGGCCCCACTTATTGTTTGGCAGTCTTCCTACTTCCGATGTACTTAAACATTTTTTTGCTGTTTGTATCTTAATTCTTTTTTTGGCTTGCCTAATTATAGACTTTAAGGCTGACTTGTCTAGATTAGTTGGATATTAGTTGCATAGCTAAAGGGGATTGAAATCACTTGTGTTAAGTGCTCATTCGTATGAAGCTCTATATCCAATAAGCCTAGAAACAATATTGTAAATACTGATCTCCTATCCACTTATTACATAGAATACCAGAATTAAGATGAGTAGATTCAGTAGCTAATTAATATGAACAACTTGTTCTTTCAAACAGAAGCCATTTGCCTCTTAATGCTGTATAGGCATAAACATGTAAAATGTAGATCTGATTCTCATATGACCATATGGTTACACAGCAGAAAGTGTTGTCTCTGATCAGCTTTGAGTGATACTTAAAGTTCTCCAGTACAAGATTCCTTACTACAAGTGTTTATTGTCACACTCTTGAGTAAGATGTCTTTATGCCTGACTTTACTGCTGTGTATCTTCAAGTCCAGGTAACTTACTGTGGTCCCTTTATTCCAAATAATACAACAGGATTGTGATTTTCTTCCCTTGCCATGTTTTACCAACTCATTGTGGCAGTGAACCAGTTACACGCTGCTAGGCTCACAAAGGAGGGTTGCAAAACAGTGGACCAACCCAGTTCTAGGAAAGTGCCATTGTGATAAAACATCATAACTTTGAACTTTTCTTGCAGGAGGTGGTGATGCTGCTCTTACAGTATGATGCTGATACTTCTATTGTTAACGGGGGTGGACAGACAGCAAGAGATGTTACACAAGATAAAGAGATCAATAATATGTTGGAAGGTAACTTCCTGTGTCTTCACTGCCTTTCATAAGCATTTGTAGCTCTGAAGAAAGCTGCTTCACCTACAAGTTCACTTGATTTCAAAGTAGCTTCTGGTTCAAAACTAATTAAAAAACTAATTTTCAGTCACTTCTGTTGTAAAAACACTGACCAGTCAATACAACAGGGCTGTTTGTTAGTGCCTTTGAAAGAAGCCTTAAAAATTATTTGTAAATGCTGTTTCTGATCAAAGTTAGGGCCTTAAAGGCAACACTGTTTTTTTTTTTCTCTGAGCCCTTTAATGATGTGGACTGTGTGTAGCACTCAAAGCCCTAGCTCACTGCATAGGGGAAAGTAATCCAAGCACGTGCTGATAACAAAAGCTGCTTTGTGTGTAACGAGATGGGATATAAACCACTTCACTTGGATGCAAACATAATTTCTAGCATTTTGCAAAGATAGTGGGCAAACCTGCTCAGACATCAGTGACTCTGCTAGGTGTCAGAGGAATTGGAAACAGATTTGAGGATCTTTCCTGCAACTCTGCTTCTCTAACCACTAGATAGTGTTTGGAGAATAATAATTATTTTTCCACTCTAAAATTCTCACCTACAAAGAGGCTAGGTAGGTTGTAGGGCATCTTCGCAGGGGAATAGAAAAGGGAAATCTGCCCAATTTAACTTTGAGTACCAAATGGTCAATGGGAAAAGACGCTCTGAATCATTCACAAACTTACCAGGTCTTGCTCTGGACAATTTCAGCTCTGAAAGTGGAGACCCTGTCCAAGTGATTTTGGGTCTCCAGCCTGAGATGAAGCAAAGGGGTGTGACTTCCAGAGAGCAGGTGCTTAACATTTTTTGAAAATCAGATCTTAAAGGTGTCAAAAGTTGAATACCCAAAATTGATTTACTTTTTAAAGTCTTGACCTGTACTGCTTTCAAAAAGCAAGTATGTTTTATGTATTGATTCACTACTATGCTATCTGCAAACAAAGGGTAAGAAAATAACTATCACTTAGCCCCAGTACTGCCACCAGGAATACTTTTTAGATGGGGGTTCTTGACAACATAACCCTGAATAGACTTTATGAATAATTGATCTTAATTCAAATGTAATTCTTTAATTTGAACAGATTGGTACATGTGGCTCTTAAAGTCAAATATGGACTAGAAAACTAAAAATTTCCAGATGAAATCATTCCAAGCAGTACTTTTCCAGAAAACATGCTATTCCTTAATTGTACATGAGATTACAGGCAATTCTCATAAACAGATGCTCTACAGATAAATTCTTAGAATGAGTGCACTTCTCCTCAGGGTGAAGCATTTATTAAAGCTCTTATTAATCTGGCTAACAATGTCAGTTTCACAGTTGTTGCTATGGTTACAATCTGACCACATGTGTCTGAAAACCAAGACTTCCTAAAAGTCTGATTAACCTGCAGGGGGATTTACTTTTTCCCTTAAATCCAGTTAAACTTATTAAAACACTTGATCCAGTTCTGCTGTCCCCAGTAAATGAAAACAAATTTACCAGTGGGATTTATCATGACACATTTATTAGGGCAACAAGATAATTTTGTGATGGTAAAAACTTCCATTGTATACAGAGATAGTGTAGAAACAGTTACATATGTATGCGCTAAGGGTCTGGGGGCGGGGGTGTTTTTGTTTTTTTGGAGAGAAGATCAAAGCACCCCATCTCCACCTGAAGTCCAATGAGTTGCTCAGCACTTCTGGAAAAATCCTACAATTGTGCCTTAACCTCTGGCTCCATAACTTGGAATGCCTAGAGTACATATCAATATGTAAACTGAGGAATTCCTGAGCTTTGTCCTCTACAGCACAGACAAGCTTGTCTACATCCTTCTGTTATATAGATAAATCAGTTTTGGTATCTGTGAATAACAAAAAGTTGAAACAATAGCATCTTAATTTGTCAAATGATTATGCCAGTTATATGCATCTGAAGTCAAAAGACGTGAATAAATCACTTTAATAGTAATACCTAGCGCTCTTTTCACTGCTCCTTGAAAACAAACCATTCTTCTCGGAGTGTGACTAAAAAAAAGTGTGCAAAGCTTGAATATTTCAGTCCAGAGGAGAACTCTGTGTAGTATGGATTGTGTTTAAAGCAAGACTTTTTTGCATATGCTCTTTTAGACACAAACCTATCAGGGCTTGAAAAATCCTAGCCCTCATGGTTGGGAAGAGAACTTTCCAAATGTGAATAGCATAAAACAGTGCTGTGCCATCATCTCAAGTCTGCAGTCAGCTCCACTGCTGTTGCTCATAGCATAGACAAGCACCGGTTGGTACTGCTTGACTGGGGAGAAGCTCTTTTCTTCAAAGATATTAGAGCAGGATGCGAAATGCAGTCGAGAGGTGTAAACTAGCAAAGACTTCCCAACCAGACCACTACTACCAGGAAGAAAGGAGGGGGAAATAGAATCCCCCATGCAACACTGTAGCGGCCACAGAACTTTATGATGGCATAGTAGAAAATGTGCACTTTTTTAGGAGCCCTTTGGTGGTAGGGGTCAGAGGGAGTGGGAGTGGGTTGTGTCATGGAAGCTTCAAATAGCTTATTTTTAATATCCGACTCTAACTAATGGATGGACCCCTCTATCAGAGTGATGGGTCAGCACTTCAGTAGTAATCCCAATAAGTGCCATAGTGCAGTTTTGGCTTCTTAAGTAGGCTATTTTCATAGAGTGGGACCTCAGTCTTACACTGTACCTAGTAAGTTTGTTGCTAGTTATTGGGTGCCTGATTAAAATCTCTTAGCCGTGTATGTGGGTGTACAGTTTGTTGTAGAAGGCTGCTTAAGATTGACAGGTTAAGCTGGAGAAGGATGAGATTTTTGTGGGGAAAAAGTTAGTGGTAAGATAGAGAAGGGGAATAGAGGAGAGAGAAGATCTTTTTATAGGAAGGGAAAGAAAGTATAATATCCAAGATGCAAGTAGGGCTGGTTAAATAGTGTCGGTCAAATATTACCACTGAACTTCCCCAGTATTCATTGGAAAAAAAACTTAGGACAAATACTTCTTGCAGTATTGAACCTCTACTACTTGGTAAATGTTTGAATACTTGAGTAACTTCAGAATTTTTCTGCAGTGATTTGTGACCTTTTAGACTTTTGCATGGTATTTAATTGACTCTGGAGGTCATGGCTCTGTAAGTGTATTTCACCCTGTCTGGTAGGCATAGCCCTCAAGTTAACAAGTGTTGAGGAAACTATAGGCCCTGTATACCGTGCTTGAACATTCTTCATTAGACAGATATCACTTTGCTGATGTTACATGTGTTCTTCTGAGACTACAACTGTGGTTGCTAAAGCTATTTTCACTTTGAAAACAGCAGTGGAAAGGACACAAGAAAGGAAACTGGAAGAACTGCTTTTAGGAGCAGCAAGAGAAGGGGAGACTGCAAAAGTCTCAGCACTGGTAAGAATTTGAGATGTTGTTCGCTACGTATGCTACCTTCACACCCCGCACCCCTATGGTAGGCAACAGTCTGAAGTACAGTGCCTCCTTACCATTAGTATTCTCCTTTTTATTACAACAGATTAAGATGCAAAATTTTTGAGTGTTTTCTAATATCCTTCCTGAGTTGGCTAAAGGATACTGTGAAGTGCTACTGCTTGAACTTCTACAGTACCTCAGTCATGGGGCTTACCATGAGAATTATCTGCTTCAGCTGAGATTAGTCTAGTACATGACAAACATTAGTGAGTACAAAATGTATGAATGCAACATGAAGTCTGAGACTTCAAAAACACACAATGAATCTGAGGTGTATCTTCAACCACAAAACAAATTCTGTCCCTGGTGTATATTGCAATACTTTCAGCCAGCAACAGATGCTGATTCTGGGTCTCAAAGAGAAACAGGTCTGGCCATGCTACTCCTCTGTGACCTCCAAGGAACACGTTAGTGCTAGTGGATGTAACATCTATACTGAACCAATGTCCCTGGGGTTAACAGCCACTTCCCTGCTGGAGGTGCTGGCCCTTGGATGAGACAGCAAGCTAAAATTGATTACATGTAGTGATTAAAGTTTTTGTTTTGTAATGTGAAACTTGTACTACTTCTGGTACTCATTCACTGCATATCGAAAGTTTGCAGATTGAGTAAATCAAAATGTCTTAAATGTGTGGCTAGGAAATATAAATTTTTCACCTGTTTTTTCTGAAATGGTTGGGAGAATGAGTTTCTAAAACAACTCTCCTGAAGTAAGATCAAATATGAAACTTAGTTCAAATGGTATCTTTCTGGTAAAGTTGTAAGCCCATCTTCATCTTGTTTTAAAGCTTTGAACTAGTCGCATTTCATGACACATGAAATCCAGAAACATCAAATGTGTTGCAATAAATTGTCAATCTATAGAGGTGTGACCTCTACCAATAAGGTTACCAACAGAATTGTATTAAATATAAACTGACTGCATACTTTGAAGCTTCTTAAGGAGCTTTCCAACCACTACCTGAATGAGAAAATGGTTCTACTACTTGTATTTTTCTTGACCATGTACCCTCAGTTCAGTTATAAATCCGTTCCCTTCCAGCTCTATCTGGGGCTGCTAATTACTTAGAATATTCCTGTCCTTAGTCTTGATGGACTTCTGTGGCCTGCGTACATACAGGATGTCTGAGCTGATCAGTGTTCCCCTCTGGCCTTATCTATTAACACAGTGGTTCTAAAACTATGCGGTGGGCTCCCAAAGGAGGCACAAGAATGTGTCAAGGGCGGTGTGAGCTGTGTTTTGTTTTTTGGAAGAGTTCTGGCTGTCTGCCTTGGGTGGCTGGGGTTTGTGCAGAAGGGCCATGCACACCCAGAAGGTGGGGATAAAGGGCCTCTCCCCACCCCATTCCTCACTGGGACGTAGCAGGGCTCTGGCTGTCAGCCCCGGGGGGCAGTAGCAGTGCAGAAGTAAGGGTTGCAATGGGGTACTGTCTTCTGCGAAAAGTGATATTGATGAATACTACTTCTGTGCAGCTCTTGGGGCGCCACCTTCAGAGCTGGCTGCCCAGCCAGCAGCTGCTGCTCTCCCAGCTTCAGAGCTGCGTGGCGATTATATGTACGGGGGCTGGGGAGAAGAGGCATAAATAACTACAGACACACAAAAGGGAGGCCTGATCAAATAAGCTGTTGAGAGCCACTGTATTAACGCAAATAGTTTCAAAAGAGTAGGGAACTCTCATGTCAGCTGTTTCTCTACTAGCCATGTGCCATGTTACAGAAGACATATTGGTTTTCTCTTGAATCTGCTAAAATCTTTTTTTGTATATTTGTTACTGTGCTGCCTGAGGGACAGAATAATCCCTTCCCTAATGAGTTAAGGTTTTCCTGTGAATGTTGTCTTTTATGCACTGGGTTTTTATGAGCAACTGCTTCCGAGTTTTCCCATGGAGTTTTTATACTCCTTCCAGACATGTTTCTGAACAAAATGAGGATATCTTGGTCATAAGTGATAGGCACACACCTATAGAGAATTACAGATTCAACAAACTGAACACTGACTTTTTATTTTATTTATTTATTTATTTTTGATAGTATTGTCCTTATTAACTTACAGAACCTTTTACCATCAGGGCTTCTGATTTTAGAATTCTCTAAAAACTCAATTTCTGTTGTCTTCCTGTTCTCAAAGGAACCAAAAATCTTTAAACTATTAAGAGTACCATAGCAATGCAGCCAGTTCTGTGCTACATTGCACATGGGAGATGGGAAGGGGACGCTTAAGCCAAGAACATAGGGAAGTAGCTACTTGTAACTGAACCTCTCTGACTTGGCTGCTGTAGACCTCGTGCTTCCGATAGCATGATCCCTTTTCGTCACCCTACTTTTCAGTGTCTACATTTCAAGATTTCGGGGCAGGGAGCAGATACTTGACCATAAATCGCTCAGGCTATATGTAATGCAAGAGGAAAACTAAATTAACTTGTAAATATAAGTCTGTTTTTTTTAGTTGAACAGGCCAAAGCCTCCTGATATTAACTGTACTGATCAGATGGGAAATACACCATTACATTGTGCAGCATACCGTGCCCACAAGCACTGTGCCTTAAAACTTCTAAAAAATGGTGCAGACTCTAAAATCAGAAACAAAAATGGTAAGTAAAGTTCTTAATTTAAATATGAAGCAAAGGAACTAAACCAGTGTCATTTTATGGGAGTACTTGTTAGCCACTGCTTAACTGTTAAGTGCAAGTTAGGCCTTGTCTGTATGGTGCAGCAATGTGAACTGCAGGCTATGAATTCTAATGCAGTGGTTCTCAAACTTTTTTTTTTTGCGGATCACTTGAAAATCGCTGAGGGTTTCAGCGGACCACTTAATGATTTTCCAAATGTTGTTTGTACTGTTGGCTAACTATTGTGTAGCGCTTTGATATTTTAATATCCGTACTTACCTTTCTAATGTGATGGATGTGCCCTCTCTCCCCCTGCCATGGCAGCCCCTGAGAGGGAAGGGGGCGGGGTCTCTCCCCTGCCACGGCAGCCCCCAAGCTGGGGCTGGAAAGGACGGGCGGTCTCTCCCCTGCCACAGCAACCACAATGCTGAGGCTGGGAAGGAAGGCCGTCTCTCCCCGGCAGCCGCAGCCCTGGAGCTGGGGAAGTCACCTCTTTCTCTGGCTGCTGCAGCCCTGCACATCCCAAATTCCTCCCACTTCTTTTCACCCCACTGCCCCCTCCCCCCCCGTGCACCCCAAGGCCATCACCTCACCTTACATGTGTGTCTTCTCCAGGGTCCAGGCACCTAATTAGTGCAGCCACACCCATATGGCTCCACTAATTAGGTGGGTGGCCCTTCATTCTCTCATGTGCGGTCACCCAGGTGTGCACTTTAGAGGGAACTATCTGCGGACTACCTGAATGGAGCTTGTGGATCACTGGTGGTCCACGGACCAGTTTGAGAACCTCTGTTCTCATGCACACCAATGTGTTGCATGCTAACTGGCTTGTGAAGACCCTGTTGAGATACACTAAAAGTTCCCTATTGTACTCTAACTTACGTGCTAAATTAAAATGCAATAGGGAGCTATTAGTGCTCACCAGTGTCTGCAGGGGCCAGTTAGTGTGCAACATGTTGGTGTGCATTAGAATGCACACCCCTGCAGTTTGTGTTGCTGCACCATGTAGACAGATTCTGAGTCACTTTTTGTTGACTCTGCCAGAGATGAGCATAGCAGCGTAAAAGCAGAGGATAAAATTTTCAGTTCATGGAAAGTCATTGGGACTGATGCTCCTGTGTCACTTCAGGTTCTCTTGACAATCCCACTTGTAAAGTTTATCTTGTCACTTTTTTAATCAAATTGACTGTAACACTCTGGTTAAATTAAAAGTAAATAACTGGCAGATGTTGACTAGAATAAAATTAGGCTTTTGTAATCCAGCAAAACTCTTCCTTAGCAATTCTCGCAAAATTCAATTTGCCCACGGTTTTAGAATAACAAATTATATTATATTTGTTGGTCAATTAAGAATTGCTCTTGTCTGGCAAGTGAGCAAATCTTGTAAGGTTCAGAAGATGTCTTACTGTAGGAAGTGAATCATAGCTAGTATACCACTCTCCTGCCAGCTGTTCTTTCTATCGATAGTGTTCAAACAAGCAAATGATTGCAATTGCTTTCCCTCTGAGCTAGATAGAAACCTTATGCCATATTAAATGCATCCAGTGTAATTACTACATAATACTTATCCACAGCATTAAATGTCCTACAACAGATCTAACTCCTAATTAAAGCTAAACTCTCTTCTGGATTTTATTTTGGTTATTAAACAGACCAGACACCGTTTGATCTAGCCCAAGGTGCAGAAATGAAACAGATACTTGGAGGAAGCATTGGCAAGGTGGGTACAAAAGATCCTATATTAAACTGTTCAAGAAACAATCAGTTGATTAGTTTTTTAAATATTTTATTTTATATAGGTGATCAACAAACGCCTGAAACGATATGAAGGTCTCCTGTGGAAGGTATGTTTTCTTTTACTTTCCCTTTTCATAATATGTAAAACAACCCAAACACTGTTTTCCAAGTCTATCCGAGAAGATTGTATTCTCTGCTCTTGAGAGGGGGTTGATGGATGGTGGCTTTTCTGTGATATCTTGACAGGTGTATTACAGCATATCCAAGGATTAGTTTTGGAAATAGGTTACAGAGTAACAGCCGTGTTAGTCTGTATCCACAAAAAGAAAAGGAGTACTTGTGGCACCTGAGAGACTAACCAATTTATTTGAGCATAAGCTTTCGTGAGCTACAGCTCACTTCATCGGATGCATGTAGTGGAAAATACAGTGGGGAGATTTTATATACACAGAGAACATGAAACAATGGGTGTTACCATACAGACTGTAACAAGAGTGATCAGGTAAGGTGAGCTCTTACCAGCAGGAGAGCGGGGCGGCGGAAGCCTTTTGTAGTGATAATCAAGGTGGGCCATTGTAGCTCACGAAAGCTTATGCTCAAATAAATTTGTTAGACTCTAAGGTGCCACAAGTACTCCTTTTCTTTTTGCTAATCCTCGGACAGGAAGGCTGGTCCTGGATTTAGGACATCTAGGTACAATACCTGGTTCAGCCACAGGCTCCCTGTGACCTTGGACAAGTCTTGCTTCATCTACCCCGTGTCACAGTTCCTATCTGTACAATGGGGATAGTACTTGCCTACCTTTTTAAAGATCAACTCCATTAATAAGTGGGCTTTGCTTCTACTACAGTTTTGAAGGCCACATAAATATCTAGGTAATCTGACTACTGGTTACTGGTTCACTGCTATTCAGTATTATCCATAGGATACAGCCCATTCCTAAAAGCCTTGAAAACTGAATTATAGGGAAGATGGAAATAAAAGCTTACAAACATTTCTGTTCAGTACAGTCCCCAAAAGATGTTCTATCTCTCCTGATTTATTATAGGGAAAATCTTTATGTAACTCCTCTAAATCCTATAAAGATGTGTTTAAGTACAATACATGAAGCAACTTTTTCAAAAGAACTTTTGAAGAGTGTATATATTTTTAAAAATCCTATAAATAGTTTGGCTTAAACCAAAGTTCAGTGTAATAATAATTCACAAAGTTGGTTAACTGCCAATGCAAAACCATTTATTTACACCCTAAAAACCAAAATATTAAGCTGCAGCTTGTAAAGCGCACTCTCCCCATATCTAATGGCAATTAAAAGGCTTGATTTTTAGGCATCTCTTAACACTGCTATGAACTCTTAAAAGCAGACACTACTGTGCAGATGGCAACCCTTCCAGTTACTTCCTGCTATCTGGATTCCATCCTCAGTTTCTTTGTTGCATATGTCAGATTGGCTAGATGAGTTACTTTTGATTATGGTAATATATAAGAAACCTTTCTGGTAGGTACTAACAACCACTCCAGTATAAGGGATCAGACATGTGGATAGCCATATTGAGTGCTGAACTACAACAAAGCTAAACTTAATTGACCAGGAAGGTTCCTACTGAGTAACAATGTTCATTAAAACGCCATAAATGTTGTTGTCTTTGTGGATACAACCAAACTTGTACTTGGTTTTTATAAATGTTCTCCCACTTCTTGGGGAAGGAAATAGAATAGTTGAAAAAACAGATACTGATTTAATGTTCAGAGTTTTAATAGATATAGCTCTTGGATCACATTTGAAGTAAAATAAATAAAATGTAGACTGTTAACTGATAGCAATACTTGGTGGCTATCAGAAGTAGCCATGGGCTTTGAAATGACTAACATTCTCTTTTAGAGTTTAAGGTTTTTTGGTTGGAAACTTTACTGGGTAGTACTAGAACATGGAGTCCTTTCCTGGTATTGCAAACAGTAAGTGTCACACTAATTTCTTGATAATTAGAATCTTAATGACCCTTACCTTTCCAATATAAAATTTATTTATTTTTATTTATTTTTTTTAAATCTTCCAAAGGGCTGATGCAGTAAATAATGATCATCGCCAAGGATGCAAGCACCTAACACAAGCTGTCTGCACGGTAGGATGTGAAGCAGGGCTTCTAAAATACCAGTCATACACTGATATTGTGCACATAAGGACTATGAGTTCTTTGGCTAAGTCACTACATATGGCTTCTGGCTCAGTTCCTTCAATATTTTCCAGATCACTGTGGCTTAGACAACTTCCCATATTTCATGCCTTATATGATGCCTCTCTGTAATATATAGTGCAGAATTATAATTTTGTTTGTAATATGTGGCATGAAATAACACTTTTACAAAGAATATTACCCTTTTGGTAACTAAGGGTTAGGTCTATGCTTACAGCAGTGTGTAGATACAGGCACTACAGGTGTGTGTACATGGTGCGGTGCAAGGCAGGCTGTGTCCATACTTGTCATTGCATGGCGCTGCTATATGCTGCAGCTAAAGGCTCTGGCAGGGGGAGGCAGTCAGACGCTACACAGCTTAAAAGTAGCAAGCTAGATAGAGGAGGCACTATTTGGGCATGTAGAAAGCCATGTGTAGGGTGTATACTCTGAGGGCTCAGGTAATAAGCAATAAGTATAAGGCGCTTGGAGGGGGACTATTCCAGTTGCTTTGAGCCTGTATCTCAAGTCTGCAATATCGGGTTAAAAAAACACCTCCCCTCTTTAGCTCTTAATTGAAATAATCTTAAACTATAACCTAGTTATACCTGCTGTCTAAAGAGAATATGAAAAACTGTTAGACTTCTGGCAAAAAATGTACTGTGAAGTGGAGCTACCTGTGATTATTTTTAATAAAGCAAAAGCCAACCATTTATGCTTATTTTTAAAAGGCAAAACTTCAGAAATATGGTCCTCAATATATGCCTCTAGCAAAACTTAATCTGTTTGCATTAATGACGTTACTACTTTCAGTGCTTGTATGTGTACATTACAGGAGGGGAATGTATGTATGTATCCTGTGCTGGAGAACTTTCCCTAGTGCTACACGTAGGGGTGAGAGTATAAAGGGCAGAGACCGCACTGCCCCTCTAGTTCCTTCTTACATCCATAGCTGTGTCATTCACAAGGAACACCAATGCTCCAGTCTACCTAGTATTACTTGGAAAAAGGATTGATCTTTTTATTTTATTTTGATTTTGCCCTCCTTTTGGGGTCCTTCCAGTCTGGTGGGTCTTTGGTACCAGGGAACTTATGCGAAGGTCCCGGGGGTTCAAATCTTGCCAAGGCTGTGGGAAGCCTATACCTGATAGTGACCCCCCCACTCTCCCACTGCCTCAAGTGTTTGGGTGAAGGCAACATCAGAGATGTAGATCACCTATCTGTTAGTCTTCAAGACTTGGATGAAGTTGAGAGAGGAGTGCCTCCATTATATTCTTATGGAAGTTGTTCTTAGACCAGCGTTGGAGCCACTGTCATCTCAGGGAAGCTCTTCAAAGACTCCTTCCCAAAGTGTTTCCCAGGTCATGTCAGCTGAAAGAGGCTGCAGAAGATCCCAGTCTCCAGGACTGTCCTCTTCAAGGCCAGGGAATCAAAGTCCTGGCCTCAAAGCACAAGCATACATCCACTTTTGGCCCCTTGAAGCATAGGGTATGGGGCTCTTTCACAAAGGATCATTCAGGTACTGATGGTAGAGTGCACCCTTCGACTTGCTGCACCCCAGCACAGACTCACTCAGGCCTGAGACAACCACCCTGGTCCCCTATCAGGGACCATTGTGACAGGCTACTTCTTCAGTGGTGACAGAGCAGTCTTGTCTGATTTGCTGCAGGTCAGCAGCTTGGTGGTACAGATGCAGATGGAGGCTGCTGCTGCAGCTAGATTTATTATGCCTGTCAGTACTGCTGTCATCTCCTTCAATGTGAGCATCCTCACCTGGCACTGACACAGCCTTTTAGAGGCACCGGGTCGCTTTTCCTTGGCATCGCTTGTCTTAGACTCAGCACTGCCATGTTCCATAGGGACAACTCAAGATCCTCTGCGCAAAGTACTACTGGCTTGGAAGCTGTCCAAGCTGCTCCAGTACTGTGCTCCAGGCGTAGGTCCCAACTGAGGTCACAGAGAACCTCTGCCAGCACCATATTTCGCCAGATTCTCTGGGTGCTCCGAGACTTCTTCAGACTCTTGGGTTTCCCTATACCAAGAGCATAGAGACCACTGTTTCTCATTGCTGGGGCTCAGACGGGTCTGTCCAGGGATTGGGATGCTTGCCCCAGCTAAGCCTGGGGCCTGGTACCATACTAGCCCCTCACAATGACCCTATTGGTTGCCTTGGAGGATGCCTCCAATTTCCAGAACCAATTCCTCTCATATGAGTATTCCCTCCGGTGGGATACTTGTCCTACCACCTTTGAGGGCGTGTCTACGCTGCAGTTAGACATCCCTGTCTGGCTCCTGCCAACTGACTCTGATTCCCACCTCACAGGGTCCCAGAGCCCAGGCTGCAGCTTGAGTCTCAATGTCTACACTGTAATTAAACAATCCCTTTGCCAGAGCCCCATGAGCCCAAGTCAGCTGACAGGTCAGCCAAGGGTTTTTAATTGTAGTGTAGATGTACCCTGAGACTGGTGATGGTACTGAACAGCCTCCTGACACCTATGCATTTGACTTACCATTGCTAGCTCTGGTATAACCACTGGTACTGCAAGACCAACTCAGCCATCTTCCTTGCCTCCACTGTAAACCACTTCCTCTTCTCCAGTGAGGTCTTGGTACCAGATACGTCATCCCCCAGTACCAGATGACTTTAAAGGATACCAGTAGTTACTCAGGTCAATGGCAGCCTCTCTGGATATGCAGGTGTATTGCAGTGGCTTATACCGTTAAGAAGAGCAGCTCCTTCTTTTAGGCTCACAGTGCTGTCCACCAGAGAACATTCAACTTCAGTGATGTTTCTGGCACATGTCCCAGTTGTGGACGTTTGTGGAGCAGTGATGTGGTCTTTGATTCATACTTTCACCAGACATTATGCACAGTCTGCAGCTTCAAGGGATATAATGCAAATGCAGACAATGTGACCATACATCCCTGTTCCAATGAGAGTGAGCTCTGCCTCCTGCGGTAACAGCTTTGGAGTCACCTGCAGTGTAGTGGACATATGCAAGCACCCGAAGGAACAACAGTTATGTACCTTCTCATAACTATTGTTTTTCAGGATGGTTCCATACGTCCATTACACGACCACCCTTATTCCTTGACACATCAGAGTCTACCATTGGTTTCTGGTACAAAGCAACTGGAGGAGGGGGGTGGGGCATCTCTGCCCTTCATCCCTTACTCTCAGCACAGGGAGCTGAGCAGAGCTAACCCTGTTGGTAATGCTAGGAAAAGCTTTCCAGTACTGGTGCATGAAGTGTATGCATACCTCCAGTGTTATGGACATATGCAATGCATCTTGTACAACAGTTCCGAGAAGGTAAGTACCAGTTTCTTACTGCTTGTGTTTAAAACTATATTAAACTGTTTCTTCAAAGTGAGTTTCTAGTCTGAAAAATGACTCTCACTACTTTATGCAGGTCTGCTTCTTGTGGATGGTCATAGCAGCCTTTTTTACTATGCCCAAGTCCAGCTGGCTGCCTGTTTTTATGCATCCATAAGCTTGCTAAGTTCCAACTGGCTGCACCTTGCAAACCACTGAAAGCAGCAGATGCACAGGGGTTGCTGAGGACTTAAATATGAAGATATTGGGGATGTGCAGATTTAGCTGAGTGGTCTGCACAGCCTTTACTTGTGATGCATGAGATAAGGGCAAGGAACAGTTTTGCTGAGACAGAGTTCCCTTTGTATGGCAGGTGGCTAGTTTAAATCATCTTTGCTTGTAAACTGAGCACATTTGAACTGAAAACCAGAACAAACATAACCCATATTACCATTTGTAAGTACTTTAGAGTAGTACTGTGCTCTAATATTTTATAACTGCCAGTAAAACTTTTTTTAAAACCTTAGTTGCCTGTTTCTGGAGTCTGTAAACTCATGATCTTTCTTCTTCTTTTTTTTTAATCAAAGGTAAAATCTACAGACAGCTGCCTTTTCTATGTCAAATGCTTCGATGACAGTGTTCACAGTTTTAAAGTTCCTAAAAACTCTCCTCCTATGGCTAGAGAGGTAACTACCAATTTAATTAAGTCTCTAATCTTGTAACTTTTGTGTAGATGGAAGAGAGAATCTAATTTTGTTTGCATAGAGCTAACTCTGAATCCTTGAGCTGTGTATATTAATACTATACTTTTGGATTCACTAGTAGTATAGAGACCTGGCTCATGGACACACAGCATTCAGAATAGTTGTATGTTTGTTGCTATTCCACTGCTGAAATGGTTGGTTATAGGAAAATCTGTGTAGTCTGTAGTCTGAGAGGTTGTTTTTGTTTGTTTGAGCTCTTAAACTTCTGTTGCAATTTACTTAGTCCCTCATCCCAAACCAAGAAAGGTAGTTAGTGTATTCTTGCAAATAGGTTCAGAGATGTGTGGTTAGGGCCACGCATTCTAAACAAGTGATAATGTTCTATCCAAAACTGGGCGGTGTGAGAAATAAGAGCACTATCATGACTCAGGCTCCTAGGTGCTACAGTAATAAATGTATTGAACATACTATTTATCCTTCATCTATAAGGCATGATTCAAGGTTTCTAGAGATGAAGAAATCTGGGGAAAAACACTTTTTATCTGATGAAGTGAGCTGTAGCTCACGAAAGCTTATGATCAAATAAACTGGTTAGTCTCTAAGGTGCCACAAGTACTCCTTTTCTTTTTGCGAACACAGACTAACATGGCTGTTACTCTGAATTTTATCTTGCAGTAGTGCCTCAAAGCCCAACTTGGACTTAAGTCCTATTGTGCCAGGCATTGTGCAAGCAAAATGGCAAAGCAGTCCTTGCCCCAGAGAGCTTGTAATCTAAATAGACAGGACAAAGGATGAGAGAAGTATAATCTACATTTTGGAGATTGGGACCAGAGGCACAGACTCCTTGTATGACCTCCAGCAAGTCACTTGGAGTCTAGCAAAACAAGGAAGCTAACCCAGATCAAGAACCCTATCATAAGAACGGCCATACTGGGTCAGACCAAAGGTCCATCTAGCCCAGTATCCTGTCTTCTGGGAACAGCCAATGCCAGGTGCCCCAGAGTGAATGAACAGAACAAGCAATCACCAAGTGATATCTCTCCTGCCACCCACTCCCAGCCTCTGGCAAACAAAGGCTAGGGACACCATCCCTACCCATCTTGGCTAAAAGCCATTGATGGACCTATCCTCCATGAATTTATCTAGTTCTTTTTTTGAACCCTGTTATAGTCTTGGCCTTCGCAACATCCTTTGGCAGAGTTCCACAGACTGACCATGTTGTGTGAAGAAATACTTCCTTTTGTTTGTTTTTTAAACCTGCTGCCTATTAATTTCATTTGGTGACTCCTAGTTTTTGTGTTATGAGAGGGAATAAGTAACACCTGTCTAGCAACTTAACCATGCCATTCTCCTTTGTGTATTATACACTTATTTTTGAAAATGGAGTAACTGTCTAAAAGCTAGGTATTTTCAAGGAGTCTTTAAGACAAAAAATATATAACTGAGCTGGTGCTTCCTTCTGAAGCACCAGTTGTCTCACATGTGCCAGTGTTCAGCTGCTGCTGAAGTAGAGGTGTGCTCTTTAAAATGAGTGTGCTGAATTCTTGCAGTGGCTGCTTTTACTTTCAGAACTGGCTGGTGGCAATAGAAGACCACTCTGCATACAGCACTCACTACTGTACCCAAGAACAGCTGAGTGATGAGGAAGATGATGACACAGTATCTGTTGCAGAATTGCAAGAAACGCTGAAAGTATGTATGGGAATACATAGCTTTTACATCTGGCGAACTATAAATTGGTGCTTGCTAGTCTTTAACTACAGAATACTGGAGATGTATTAGAGCAGCTTTACCATTTCTAGTTTGGGTAATATGTCTCCCTCCATTTACTTGGCTGTTCTCAGGGGCCACAAACACTGCTGACATTTAGAATACAGTTTGTGATGTCTCATTCATGCTCAATACTCTGCATGTAATAGTGAATGTATACTACTACGGCCTGTATTTAGTAATTTAAGAACATGTACACAAAAATGAACTGTTACAAGTTAAACTGTTTTGAGCACTTTTGGCCAGAAGAGGGAGCTTGAAGTACTTGACATGTCCTCTAGTCTAAGACTTAAGTCTTCACTAAGGTATTTCAGATTTATAGGCTGTAACCCTCAGCAATGTACTGTTCTGATATAGTATGCTTAGAAATAGGTGTTAATGCATGGGGCCCTCATCTGAACTGACTTGATGCAACTTATGAGAGGGTCTTCAGTTTACTATGAAACTGAGTTCCTGTTGTGGTGCTGGCTCTACCATCAAACTTCTGGCTTCAAAAAACTTGTCTAGTGTATTAAAGGAAAATAGCAGGGTACAGAAAAGTTCAAGGTGACTAGACAGGAAACACTGAAGGCTACACTAATGAAAAGCAAACCTTTATTTCAGGATAACTTGAACAAGTATATCTGTAATTCTAATTTCTATTGCTGCAATCTACTGCAATCTTTTAAATACTGACTAGAGTTGACTGGAGGAGACTGTCTCAATTTGGAAATGGTGGCTCATGCCCTGTTTTTCACTGTGGGCTGTGCTCCCCAACCAAATTACGTGTCCTTTCACGTACCACAGAGTTTGCTTTTTGTTTGGTTGCTGTGGGGCATCATAGTCTGTCTGAGGAGCCTGGCCCAGAGAGGAAGATGGGGTGTATGACACCTAAACTATAGCTCCCAACAGCAGAGTGGATTTGATTTAAATCATGATTTAAGTCACTAGTCAGGAAGACTCAATTTAATCGTGGATTTCTACATAAAAGTGCATTCTTAAAACTACATTAATGTTGTTATAACCTTAATACATAGTCTTCAACTCAGATGTAGGTTTCATTTTTAGAAGGTACAACTTTATATTTTTAAAGTGATTTTTATTCTGAAAATTTTTTAGATTAGTTTTACAGCTATATCAGAAAATGAATGAGTGTTTGGTTATTTCATTTACCTAAGATAATTGAAGCAGATAGTTCACCTCCCAATGACTTCATAAATATGTCCAATTCAACAGGTTAATCATTATTATTTGTAGGACTTTCTTTCCATCCTGTATTAGGAGGAGAACATCACCAGACAGACATTTAAATTGTTTTATTTAACTAAAACACCGTTATGTATTCAACAGCAAACACATAATATTTTAACAAAACAAGCATATGAATTTTTGAATTTAGTTAAACATTCAAGTTTTTTAAAATCTTGGGTTTTTTTGTTACTATTTTCAACTAAAATAGGTAAATGAAATATTTTTTTTTTTTTTTTTTTAAAAAACCACACAAATTAGATCGACTGTCAGCCAGGTCAATATGAAAAACTTAAAATATTGGCTTCTGCAGTTAACTCAGTCGTCTTCACCTTCATTTTCCTGTTTGTTCATAATCTGGAAAAGAAAAACAAGCTTTCCTGCCTTTTTCAGGTCCCAAACGATTTCTCAGTTTGGAATGAATTAGTCCAAAGCAAGAAAATATTCTTTCTACACCAGCAGAAGAGGCTACTGCTGTTAAAATTGAGATTATCACTTGAACAGTCTCTGAATCCAAGTGCTTAAGTGACTTCCTCCAGTTCCCTGGTGTGATTTTCTTTAAAACATCACCAGCAAATGTATATTTCTTGAATGGTTCTTATTCCCAAACTGGATCTCTTTTATGGCCTGCTGCCATTATAAGTTTTCCCTTCTAATGAGAGAATGGTATGGTAGATCTCAAATCAATGAAGGCTACACTCAGAGAGACTTCAAGACTTCTGGAATATGCTGCTCAAACAGTTTCACTTTTGTTTCTGCTGCCTGTCCCTGTCTCACATTTATCTCCAGACTTCTTCTCCTTGTTCAGATCTATTCTGCCCCCAACAATCTTCTATTCATTGAACTTTTTGAAACTTTGCACTTGTAGAGAGACGTAAGGAATTGACTGTGTGGTCACAAATTTGCAAAGAGACAATAGGGTTGAGGACAGAAATAACAGGTGTTATTTCTCACCTCTGTTATACCAATAAAATAAAACCCAACAGGATCTTTTAAAAGGGGATGAGACAAAATGCCGTGTGTGTTGTGAATACAAAAAGAGGCACAGTAAACAAGTAATCATAGGTTTCAGAGTAGCAGCCGTGTTAGTCTGTATTCGCAAAAAGAAAAGGAGTACTTGTGGCACCTTAGAGACTAACCAATTTATTTGAGCATAAGCTTTCATGAGCTATAGCTCACTTCATCGGATGCAACTTTGGTTCTCCCATCCTTGAGGCTGTTGGGTGGATTCCAGTCTGCCCTCCAGGGATCATCCAGTTATCTCCACTTAGCACATTCTTTGGCCATTCGATACTGAAGTGTTAACTCTTAGGGTGGCACTCCTAACCATTCATCTTCTGTTTACACACAACATCCATTCGCATGCATTCTCAAGTTTATTTGGACATGTATCTCTTCTGACTTTAACAACTCTTGGGATGTAAAGAAACTGCTTAACCCCCTTACTATATAACATACATAACAAGCAAGATAAAAGAACAGGAGTACTTGTAGCACCATAGAGACTAACAAATTTATTAGAGCATAAACTTTTGTGGGCTACAGCCCACTTCATTGGTTCCATTCTATGCATCCCATGAAGTGGGCTGTAGCCCACGAAAGCTTATGCTCTAATAAATTTGTTAGTCTCTAAGGTGCCACAAGTACTCCTGATCTTTTTGTAGATACAGACTAACACAGCTGCTACGCTGAAACAAGATAAAGAATGGGAGAAGGGTGGGGATCTGTGTGCTGTTCCGAGGAACAGTTGTTTTTGCAAAGTCTTATCTCTTCTGAGAACAGACTTTCTGTCCCAGGATGTGCTGAGCAGTTTGGCCTTGCAAACCTTTCACATAGAAAGGAAAAGCCTTCTAATTAACATTACTTTGGGATCTTTAAACTATATAAATTTAAAAATCATACAGAAATCCTCTGGTATAGTAACATTTATTTATTTAAAAATTTTTCTGTTATCTCTGGAGACACAAATCCACAGTTTGAGAACATCAAAACTAAATATCTCTGATGGTATCTTCTTGAGTGACTGAGTAGAGTCCCATTGGGTAGATAGAAAGATTAACCTAAATAATCTATACAGAAGCCCCTGGAACCCCATAAAATTGGATCCCTAATCCATGAACTCTTGGAATGCATTTACAAAACTTTTCTTAAACATTATATGAATATATTGTTTCATACTATAGAATTAGAATTTATAATCCCTATTCCATGATGAGATATCTTTGGACTATAATGCATCTTAATTAAAACTATCTTTAGATTGCTTTTTCCTCAAAAAGCATGTTATCAAAAAAATCTGATTTTATTTATTTATTTTTTAAATCCTTGATTTTTATCCACCCTGCCCAAGAGGCACTGTGGATGCATTTCCAAATCTTAGGTTTTTCATTTTTGATGAAAGTCTAAATTTTTTCTGTGGGGAAGCAGACCCCCTCCACCCTCCCCCCAAAAAAAACCACTGTAGTCAAAAACCCAGTTGTCAAAACAGTCTTTTAATGGAAAATTTTTAACTATCCTTAATATTGATACACTACTAATTCTGTAGAAAAACTACATGAAATGCACATGCTTTTTGGTAAAACAGAACTTTATTTGTGTTCTGGTAATGTCCACAAAGGAAGAAAATAGTCCCTCCTCTCAAGACCTTATAAAAGAATAATCTGAAAAGAAGCAACATGCAGAGGATGAAAAGGGGTGGAGAGGACAACTATATACATGCTGATATTTAATTTTATAAAGTTGTATGTAATCCTAGTTGAAATTCCTCATTCCTTGAAGACTTTTCAGCAAGGGCTCTGAAGAGTCTTTAAACAAGCCCCAGGGTTTTTTACTATGTAGTTTTCAGTCTTGGATTTGACATCTCCGAGTGGAAGGAAACCCCCTGAAACTAATCTCCTCACAGCTTGCTCCACTGCAAACCTCATTTTTCTAATGAGACAGGGTCACCATCGTTCCTTGTCTACCCACAGCACTTTATTTCAAACCTCCATGCTGTCGTGCTGCCACCAATTAGAATGCTAGAAAGTCTGCTGGAATTCTATCATTGTCTAAACCGTCTTTGAGCAGGGTAGCTAAAATGCCAGAGGCCATTCTACACTAGCGCACACCCTAGTAAAGCTGGTCTGGTGGCAGTGCAACAGTGTAGAAGCTTACATAGAAATTATTTTGCGGGCAAGGCCTAATAGATTACAAGTAATGTGAGTCAGTTTTTGTAACAAATGTGTAGGTAATGATGTACAAGGCTTCCTTGGTGCATTCTGGGAAAATCTGGGAATCTGATAACCCCGCAAAGGATGGGCTGCCTGGAGGATTCCCACATAAAACAGAACCCAGCAGCAGGTGGTGCAGTTTCTTGACCCACAGAGCTGGAAAGAAGATGACCAGCCCAAACTAGTCAATGACTGATGTCCTAGTCATGCGCAAAAAGAGTGAACAAGTTACATGAAGACAACACTCTGCCACCCTAGGCCTCTGTTAGCGATGACGCACAGTTAGTTGACGAGGTTACTAACCATTTTAACCTGTTTGAACACACCACCTTTAGAGCCACCATGCCAGTAAGTGAATACATCTCCTAGTAACTTGAGTGAATTGGTAACAAATTGCTTATGTGGACCCTCTCTGTTCAGGCTACAAACCAATTCTTTACCTTAAGCTGATCCTTCTTTAGTTTGAGCAAAAATGGGTTTTGGCTTTTTTTTGGGTGGGTATTTTTCTTTTCTTAAAGAAGAGTAGAAGTGCTGGGTTAGCATTCTAGAGTAGCCTTTCACTCCTAGACATGTAGGCCCAAACAGTGGTGGTCTTTTAAAGAGCATATTTGACTGCTCTACCCCTTCTCACCTCTGCTCTCCTTTCTCCCCCGACAACCTCTTGTCACAAAGGGTAATACATGTAACTGTTTCCACATGAAATGTTGTCTAGTACAATGTGATGCTTTTTAGTTTTGAAGTGACTTATTACAGCCTGAGTGTCATATATATTATGTAGTCCTATGACAAGTTCATGCCAAATAACTTGTAGAATGCAACAGCACTGTTCTCTTTACTGGAGAAACCGCATCGTATGTCACTTACATGATTAATGAATAATTCTACTCCAGTTAAACTAAACTTCATTAGTACTTACATTTATGCTGTGAAATCTGAGAGTTCTTAGCTGTATCACCTTGATGCACTTGTACTCCCAGAGACTGAAGCATCTCTGGCAGTAGAAAGCTTTGTGTAGACATAAATTTCATGAGTGGTCTTTACATTCCCCCTACAAAGAGTTTACAGAGGCGATTTCTTTTTTTAACATGTTAAATCAAATCTGAAGTGATGCCAAGTGTCCTAGTTACTCTGCAAATACAGCAATGCGTGTTGTAATCACTATTCAAAAGAAAAGTGTATTTGGGACTTCACTGGAATGGGCATGTTTTGTGCAAGTAGATGCCTCCAAACTACAGTGGAGCCTAAGGACCTGATCCTGAGAGGCAGTGCCTGCCCCTTCCTGCACATTTGTATATCCAAAAATGAAGTTGACCAGGTTACTTAACCAAACAGGTTAAAATGAACATACCACCTTTAGCGCCACCATGCCAGTGCTCTGGGTTTAACTCTTCACTTGCCAGCGTTTGTCCATTCTAATCCGCTAAAGCGCTGAAGGAGGTTGCCTGTGATGAGGGTATGCTAAGGCACACATGCTAAGGCACGGCTCGGACTTTGATTTGAGCCCAAACCACCTTTCGGTCCCCACGCAAATCGGTCTGAGTCAGGTCAGCAAGCACTCAAGACCCATGTTGTAGGGTGTGGATCAGAGCCAGAGTACCACTACAATTCAGGTCCAAGCCCTGTCCCTTTGCAGTGTGGATACAGGTCAAGGTACAGACCCATGTCAAAGATCTACGTAGTGCAATATAGTCACGTTAGCACAGCTGTGAGAACTTGGTCTAGCAATTGTTGCAGAGTGGATGCTCAGTCACAGGCTTGGAAACAGTCTGTGTTCTACAGGCCTGGGCTTAGAATACAGGGTAGACATGCCCTAAGAGGCAAGACTAAATTGGGAGGAAAATAGCTTATGTAACTGTTGGTCTCTGAACAAAACTTGATTGCTTCTAAAAAGTTTATTGAAATTTATATACTGCAATTAAAGTGGCTTTGAATATAGCCATTCAAGTGTGCAGTGACGCCTCTTGAGAGAGAGAAAAATACATATGAAGCTTTTTTACACACTCCAGACTGGGGCGGGGAGGCATGGAAGGTCCAGTGCTTCCCCAGTAGCCACCTGGGTGGGGAGAGGAAGGGGTGGGGCCAGAACCTCTCCAACCATGCTGGGACACTGCCTGGTGCAGCCCAGTGGCTGCCTGGGAGAGCATCTGGCTGTGGGGGTGGCAGGCTGCCCCCTCCCCAGGCTCCGCTTCCAGGGACAGCAGCCAAGCGAGCCAGAGTGCCCCGCTTCTCCCTGGCGTGCTCAACACCCATCCCCAGAAGCTGAGCCTGGGCAGGGAGCAGGCTGCCGCCACTGGCCGCGGCCTCCCCAGCCAGGCTCTCCCTGCCTGGGCCTGGCTGCCAGGGAGAGCAGCTGAATGTGCTGGGGGGAGCCAGTGCAGTGGGAGGACAGAGCCCATTTTCCCCCCCCCATAAGTAATGTGGGGCGGGGGGGGGAGAGAATGGGGGCTCTGGGGTGGGGGCGGGGCAGAGATGGGCTGGGGGCGGGGCAGAGATACATGGGGAGGTTGTGTCCACCCATTTAGCTGGTGCCCCCCCAATATGGGGAGGCACCAGTCATCTATTGATTTACCTTAAGAAAAAAGTGGTTTTATATCAGAACTTTTTTTTTCAAATTGTTAGGTATCTCTAACTTGTATTTAAGAAAACTTTAGTACGTTTAATAGAATGTGAGAAGTTCTTTTCCATTTAGAAGTACCTGTTTTAAATAGCTTTTTATCTTTGTTTGCAGAAGGCACAAACATGTCAACAAAGGCTAGATAAAGAGATTTCCAACTTCCTCATAATGATTAAATCGTGCAACACCACTAAAGGTAACACTGTTAGCAATTGTAACTCTTTCTGCAGTTTCTTGACATGCTCTGTGTTGAATAAACCACTCGGTAAAAAATCAGGAAGTCCACCCTTTTGTCAAATAAAACTTCACCAAAACAGAAACATAAGATGCCTGTGAGTATAGGACCACTGCTTTTTAATTAGAAATTGAGACTGAATACTTCAGTTTTCAAGTAAGTAATAAGTTGACCATTATAATTGCTAAATAGCTAGTGGTTCTGCTAATGCTTTACATCCATTGAGGCAGTTAGTTTAAGCTTCCGGGAAGTTGTACTATGGTGTAACTTGTCATAAATAGTATTTTCAGGATAAGTGAGTGTATAGGTGAGTTCCTCCTGCTTTGGAATCACTTATTTAAATGGCTCTACAACACAAGAGCAGTAGCTTTTATTGTCCCCTTAAAGGTACCAAAAGCCCTCTTGCTACCCTCCTTACTGCCAAGAGATCAGCTGCTGCTTCTAGTTTCTCTCCTCACTCAATTTGTATGATGTATTTGCTCATTGTAGTAAAAAAGCTATGGTGCACTGACCTTGTGGAATGGGGATGAATTAAATGTAATAAAGAAACTAATGGGTCAGTGAGATGGCATATATTCCAGTGTCCTTGTATAAAAAGGGGACACAGCAGGTTGGGGAGAGCTCAAATCTTTGTAAATCACATACTGTTTCCATTGGACACTTAACTGGAACTCTGCTGTTTGTATGCTATTGGCTATTATGTACAGGCGTCAAATTTAAGAGATCCTGACTTTCTCTTGTTTCGGGCTAGTGCCTTGTACATATATGCATAATATGAAATTGAAATCAATGGATTTTTAAGATTTAAAAGTGGTAATTTGAGAATTTAAATTATATTTATCTGAAAAGTGGGGGCTTTAAAAACAAACCTCTTTAATAAACAGATCTGGCCTTCGTGTATATTTGAGTCCTTACTACTTCTAACAGTGGTTAAAATGTACTAAGCTCAAATTAGAATGCTAGTTGTTAATCATAGAATTGTAGGACTGGAAGGGACCCCAGGAGGTCATCGAGTTGAGGGGGTTCTTAACCTTCTTTCCTTGCTAAGGCCCCCCTCAATAGGCTATTAAAAACGCCAGGGCCCAGAGGGGGCGGGAGGGGAGGGAACTTGGGGCTCCAGGCTGGGGGCACCCTTGGGCATAGGCATAGTTTTTATTTCTATTTGGGGGGAGGCAAGAGCTGGTGGGGCTTGAGCCAGCTTTACACAGTGGGGTCCAGGGAGGGAGTGCCACCTTCACCCCCTTGACTCACTCAGGAGGCCACCCAGCCTGTCTGGGCTCTGGTGGGATGCAACCAAAAAATATAACTTGAAGGGGGGACTCGGTTCAAAAAGTTTGAAAATTGCTTAGGATGCAGGAAAGGCTGGAGCACCCACAGGGAAAAAAAAAATACTGGGTACTCAGCACCCACTGGCATTACCAGCTGTTGGCAGCCAGGGATCAACTGTTTTGCAGGTGCCTTGGCTGATGAGCTGTTTCCTAGGGGCAGCCTGTGCGCAGCTGTGATCAGCTGTTGGGTGGGCAGGCTCAGATCAGCTGTTTCCCACCTCCGTGCTCCCACAGGGGCTGAGTGAGTCTCACAAAAAAAAAAGCCTTAAGGTTAGGCGTGGGCTATCAGCAGCAGTGCAGCCAGCCCCTGCTCACCTAGGGCCGTCCTACACCTCTTGGGCTGATAGCCATGTGTATGGTTGCTCTCTGCCAGCCAGGCTCCACTCTGGCCACAGCAGGCATCAGATGACCCAAGGGAGCCCAGCTAGGCTAGGGCTGGGTGCAGTGGTGGATTAGGGGGAGGAGAAGCCCCGGATCCCGGCAGGAGCTGCGCTGGGTGGGGGAAGAGAAGTCCCAGACCCCACTCTGTGTGGAACTGGCCTGAGCTCTTCTCTCTCCCATCCCCCCTGTGCAGAGCTGGCTCTCACTCTCCAGCTGTTGAGAAATTCAGCCCAAATCTACCCACCTTGGTGTCTCCATTTCCCCTATCATCACACAACCATGAATGGATATAGCCTAGGAGGCAGTGACAGCATTATCTGCATTTGGCAGGTGGGATCTAGGGCACACAGAGGTGAAGTGACTTTCCCAAGGCTAAGCAGGGAGTCTGTGGCAAAGCAGAGAATCGAACCCAGAACACCTGAGACCGAGGCCTGTGCCTTAACTACTAGGCAACCTTTCCACCCAAGGAGGGGGAACCTCCTCTTCCACGTTGGGTGGGTGGGTGGGAGCAGGCACTAGACAGAGCCACCAGGAGGTGGGGAGCAGAGAGAGATGGGAAAAGGGACATGGGTAGGAAGCAAGAAGGGGAGAAACATCAGGAAATGGAGCAAGGACTTAGAGAAGAAACAAGAGAAAGGGAGAGGAGAAAGGGGCAGGGAGAGGGGAAAGACTCTCCACTCCTTGTCCCTTCTATCCACCTTCTTTCCACAGCCATCAGTGGCCCTCAGCTCCCAAACAGGCCCTAAGCAGGTGTGAACATAATGTCTTTAAACTGGGATGTTGGTGAAGACAGCTTGTAACTGAGTGTAATGATTTTAATATACTGTAATTCATGATGATGTAATGATATATTTCATTACTATTTTAATAATTACATTAAGATGCTAGTGATACACACATTCAATAACAGAATATGAAAAGTACATAAATATGCTGAAAATCTCCAGTTTTGGGGGGAGGCTGAGGCCTTTCCCCCCCCCCCCCCCCAGCACAAACACCTCACCTTCAAGGCAGGAGAGGGCAGAAGGGAGTGAGCTGTGGGCAGGAGATGCTCAGGGGAGGGGGTAGAGCAGGGGCAGGAAGAGGAGGAATGGGGCAGAGTGAGGGTGGGGCCTTAGGGAAGGGGGCGGAGCTAGGAAGGGGCACCCACCTGCAAAACCAAAAGTCAGCACCTATGGGCAGGGGGTAACTAGGGGTTGTGTATGGGGGGGACTCCCAGTTTCTGGCTTGGGGGGTGGAGGTTTGCTGGCTTCAGCCCCACACGGCTCCTGGCTTCAGGGCAGGGAGCCCACCAGCTTTAGCCCTGTGCCGCTCCTGGCTTCGGGGGGGTTCACGGATCTCCAGTTGAGAACCACTGATCTAGTCCAGTTCCCTGCACTCATAGCAGGACTAAGTGTTATCTAGACCATCCCTGACAGGTGTTTGTCCAACCTGCTCTTAAAAATCTCCAATGATGGAGATTCCACAACCTCCATGGGCAATTTTATTCCAGTGCTAAACCACCCTGATGGTTAGAAAAAACTTCCTAATTTCCAACCTAAACTGCCCTTGCTGCAATTTAAGCCAAAACAAACCCAGGTTTTTTTCAATCTTCCCTCAGAAGTCATGTTTTCTAAATCTTTAATCATTTTTGTTGCTCTTCTCTGGACTTTCTCCAATTTGTCCACATCTTTTCTGAAATGTGGTGCCCAGAACTGGACACAATACTCCAGCTGAGGCCTAATCAGCACAGAGTAGAGTAGAAGAATTACTTCTCTTGTCTTGCTTACAAAATTCCTGCTAATGCAAAAAAGCAAACATCGTTCTGGGATGTAACAGTGTTACACTGTTGATTCATATTTAGTTTATAATCCATTATGACCCCCAGATCCCTTTCCACAGTACTCTTTCCTTGGCAGTCATTTCCGATTTTGTATGTGTGCGACTGATTTGTTCTTTCCTAAGTGGAGTACTTTGCATTTGTCCTTATTGAATTTCATCGTATTTTCTTCAGACCATTTCTCCGGTTTGACCAGATCGTTTTGATTTTAATGTTATCTTCCAAAGTACTTGCAACCCCTCCCAGCTTTGGTATTGTCCATAATCTTTAAGTGATTCATTGTGAACGCCTGATAGCATAGGCGCCGACTTCCCCTCTGCCTGGTGGGTGCTCAACCCCTGCCCCACCTCTGCACCACCCTCGCCCCACCCCCTTCCTAAGTCCCTGTCCCTGCCCCACCTCTTCTCTGCCCCCTCCCCAAACATGCCATGTCCCCGCACCTCCCCCTCCCTCCCAAAAGTCCTAAGTGCTGCCAAACAGCTGTTAAGTGGCCGGGGGGGGGGGGCAGGAAGTGCTGGGAGGGATGGGAAGTACCAGGGATGTGGCATGCTTGGGGGGGTGGAGGGGGGGTAAGGAGTGGAGGGGGAGCTTGATGACTGGTGGGTGTGGAGCACCTGCTAATTTTTCCCTATGGGTGCTCCAGCCCCGGAGCACCCATGGAGTCAGTGCCTATGACTGTTAGTTGCTCTCTGGGAATGGTTTTGCAGCGAGTTATGCACCCACCTTATAGTTGCTTCATCTAGGTTATTTTGTTTGTTTTGTTATGGCCATTCGAGACAGTATCAAAAGCCTTACTAAAGTCAAGATATACCACATTTGCTGCTTCCCCTCTATCCACAACACTTGTTAATGCCTGTGCAAGCCCATTGTCTTTAACAGGATAGCATGTGGCTAGCCAAGCCTTTGCCGGTAGTGGTCTACCAAACAAGAAACCCACCTTGATGCAGTCCAAGTTGTCTGCGGGGCTAACTTTTACGTAAAACACATCTTTGTCAAATGAGCATGCTGTCCATATTGAAGCAATCATAGAATTCTGTTTGTTTGCCAATACCACTTTTAGCTGGTTCTAGGAGTAGACATGCACAGTGATTCCAAGTCTTTGGAAACAGAATTATATTAAGGCTAGTGTCTATCTTTAAAATATGTATTTCAATAGAACTGGCTTTGCCACTACTAAACTCTGTTAAAAATAAACCATTAAGGTTAGTCAAACATTGTCAGTGGTATTTAACTTGGGTGGGGTTTAATGCAGTGGAAATCAAATAGAGGACAACTAACAATGTCCAAACTAGCCAGATAAAGTGTAAAAGTTAGTTTTATGAAGAATACTGTCTATCACTGGCTTTCCATCTGAATGTGTCAGATTTCTTTCAGAGTAACAGCCGTGTTAGTCTGTATTCGCAAAAAGAAAAGGAGTACTTGTGGCACCTTAGAGACTAACCAATTTATTTGAGCATAAGCTTTCGTGAGCTTTTCGTGAAAGCTTATGCTCAAATAAATTGGTTAGTCTCTAAGGTGCCACAAGTACTCCTTTTCTTTTGGTCAGATTTCTGACCACTATACAAGGTGATAGTCAAATATTCAAAACAAATTAAAGGGCAAATAAAGTACAGTTCTTCTCCTTCATGCTGATGGGGCCAAAACTACAGCATTGTATGGTCCTTTTTACCTTGTTAGCATGAAATAGATGTGCTATGGCTCCATTACAAAAATGGTCTGTTCGCTTCCCTTTCATCCCTTTTTGAAGCTGTTTTACAACATACATGTGTGTGGGGTTTTTTTTGTTTTTTTTGCATCAGGAAGTCCTTGGAATTTTTTAGTATAATAAGACCAACATTTTGATGAAAAGCAACAACCTGAAATTTAACGTAGATAAAGCAGAAGTCTTCCTGGTTGGAAGAGAGCTAGTACCTCTGATCCTAAGGTGCTTAACTTGCCATCAGTCAAGGCAGTATGCTCTCAGATTGTCAAATACAAATCCAGACTTGTATGGATTTATTGCTAAGCCTGATAACCAATTGCAGTAATAGAAAATGCATCTTTCCATTTCCAATGTTACAGGAAACTGTGCCTGTTCCCCTCAGGAGGTGACCCCACCACAGTGATCAAGTACTTGTCACCTATCACTGTCTGTAACTTCATTTATCTAGGACTGAAATGGAGAGACAGCACATATTCAATCTAGGACACAATCTCAGTGGCTCACAACAGAAAGCATTGCACAAGTACATGTGGCTTGCACCTGTTCTCAGATCACATACTGTTGCCTTGAATTGGTGTTGTCTTGAACTGAAGGACTTCAGTGACTTGTGGTCTGACTGTGTCAGACAGCCATGCTCCCGTCTGGGCAGTATAGCTAGCCTTTCCCAAGGTGAAACTCTTGTGAACCGAAGATGGGACTTTTGCAAGATGGCCATCTATTGTGGAATTAACTACTGGAAAAGCCTAAAATGAGCCTAAGATTGGCCATAGTTGGACCATGTTCTAAATTTTTTTTTTCCCAAACACACAAAACAATATTGGAGGAAGAGCTTGGGTGAAGTAAGAAGAAAGCAACTGAATGTAGGAGAGGTGAAAAGTAGAATATTGCCTGTATCTTTCATTTTGGAAGGTGCCTATCCAACTTGATAGTCACAGTTAGAACTGTTAAGTGTACTCTGAGTTTTAATTAGAGGCTCCAAAGATAGAAGTTCTTGTATTACACAATATATATAGGTCTAATCAAGCCAAAAAGTTTCTTGCAATGTGTCAAAGTACAAACATTCATGTAATATCTAGGGTAGTTTCTAGCATGTTGGGTAAAATTGCTCTTGTGTGGCTTGTAAAAGACACTGGAGGATGTCTTATAACTGTGGCAGTACTGAATTGTCAGACTCTTGTATTTGCACCAGAACAGCACTTACTTTTTTAGTGAGACTGATTGTGGTGGTACTTGTGTCTTCTGTGTAGTCACTATCAAGACCCTCTGACATCTTCGAAATGCTGCAAACTCAGACACCTAGTTCAAACTTACCTCTACTTTCTTGTCTGCTTTCGTAGCAGTAGTGCAATGAATATAATGCTTCTAAATGGCTTGTGTAACAGATGCGGAAGCCAGGCTTGCCACAAACCACTATATAGCCTTGAGCATGCTCTCCTATCAACTTAGTACATAAAGGGTATATCACTTTTTGCTACCAGATGCGTGTATGGGTGTTTTAATTTGCTATTGCCCAAATGTACAACATAGTTGCTGCTGGTGGTGGTCTTTAAATGAACCCTATTATTTTTAAGATGAAATAAACCTTTTTCTTCTAATTTAGAATTAGTAATTCCATTTTTAATATGCATGAATAAGGGGATTACAGCAAGGACAAAGGGAAACTTGAGTCTTGAGTTTTATCCTGCATAACAGGCTGACAATTATAGTTACAAAAGGACCTGAGTGCTAATGATTCCACCCTCTGTTACATATCCATTTGGGATGGTTATATTCAGGGTGTGAAGAGGGGATATTTTTGTGCTGTTTGTACCATTTACCCCATCAGGTATTGTCTTGGCCTTCATTTGAAGATTTTCCTCTTCTCCTTGATATTTACCACCAATCTCTCTTCTGATTCCTGTTTTTGGTAACTTGGTTGTCCAACTTGAGTGTGGCCTCTTGGGTTTTCTTCAGCTTCCTGGTCTGACATGATGGCAGTAACTGCACACCATCCTTGGACTACAGATCATGCAATACTTTTACAGGAGAGGTCTTTACACCTTACTCCTGGAGAAGGGGTAAAAAGGAGGGACGCAAGTTAGGGCTGGGTAATCTTATGAAGCCCAGAGTTCTCCCATCTCGTGTTCCGAGCCAAGCTGTGCAGTGGAACTGTATCCAACTCATGAATAAATTACCTTTTGAAACCTTTCCCAAGTTCAGGACAAGGGGAAGAAACTTTCCCCTAATATTAACTTGTACACTGTATTGTAGACAGAGCATTTTCTACTGTTCTGGCACTGATGTAGCACATAAAATACACAGGATTTTTAATTGACCGTTTGGGAGCAAACAGTTGTGCAAAATCGGTAGTTAAGATGTCTCCTAAAACAGCTCACTTTGGTACTTTTGACTTTCAGGAATGCCTCCTTCATTTCTTCAGAAAATTGAAGTGGTCTCTGAAGTATCAAAAGAAACTTGTGAGGCTCTGAGTAACTGCCTTAAGCTCTTCACAAAGCAGGAAGGGGTATGTATTGCTGTACTTCACATCCTTATTGCATAAACTATTTTAAGAGCATCACTGAAGCCAGAACTAATGAGAGGCAGAGGAAAGGGGGACAATTGTACTTGGGCCCCCAAAATGTGTTCAACATCGGTATAAACGAGCAGGGCAGAGACTCCATCAAACATGATGTGCCAAGGCCCCAAATTTCTCTTCAGGCCTGCAGCTGCCTTGCTTACTTAATGTGCTGAACCAAATACACCTCTAAGGCTTCTGCCTTTACCAGACTGGTTGTCTTGCATTTTGTTAGCCACCAAGTGGAATCTGATACATCAAAGAAATTAGCATTTTCCTCTGCAGCTAGGCATCAATACAAAAGAGAATCTTGGGTTTGTTTGCATATTGTACAGATTAATTGGTAGTCTTTTCAACTGTTCTGCCTTCTTCCACATGTATTTGGAAAGGTCTCTCTTGATTTAGTTGTTTTCATGGACAGTTTTTAAAAAGCTGTGTCCTTTTTATTGTACTTACTGTCACTAATGTGCAGGGCCCTATGCAGATTCTTCCCTCTATCTGGAATTGGTTAAGTCCGAGATATTAACAGCATTTTTATTATTCCAGGGAATTCCTAGTGTGTATTTCTAGTTTCAATACCACCCCCTACTCATTGGGCTTGTTGTCGTCATAATAGCACCCTGTTTGTTTATACTATTGTGTGTGGCAAGATGGCCGATGTTAGTCTGGTGGGTCCTGCTTTTTTCTTGGCAGAGAGCTAAGATGTCACCCTTTGCCCCTGCTCTTGAGTGCTGAGGGCTCTGCTACTAGCCTGGGAAGGTGGTAGAGGAGGGAAGTGGGGGAGGGGTCTGGGTTTGTTCCTCGCTCTGACTTCAAGACCCTCTCAACCCCTGCGGGTTTCTTACCCTCATCCCCCTTAGGTGGGGTTACCCTCGGTCCTTAGATGGTGGGGTCAAGGGAGTCTCCCTGTCCTGCTGGGGCAGGGTCTCCCTTACTTCAGGACTTCCAAATCTCTCAACACACCTCCAAGCTCCAGTCCTCTCTCCTTCCTCCTCCCCCTGTCTGCCTGAAGCAGGGGGTTTTATTAGGTTCCTAACAGGGCCTTGATTGACTGTAGGTGCTCCAATTAACCTGCAGCCACCTTCCCTAGTCTACAGGGAACCACGCCTTAATTACTGCTTCTGTCCTGCTGCAGCTGTCTATGAATCTATGAATTAGCCTTGAGCTTATATCTTCCCCTCTAGCACTCTCCCACTGCTCCCTGGCCCTCCTGTATCACAAGTGTAATTCCAGTACTTCAGCGCACACGTACTGCGTGTTTGTTTTTTAATGTTGATCTCTGGGGGGTGCTTTATAACCAAGTTACCATACATAGACTTGTTCTCCTGACCTGTTATAACACTCTCTCCAGTTCAGCTTTGTTTTTCATCAGTCATTTGTATCTTAAAATAGGGAAGATTGTGTTGGTGTTGTGAGTCACTTCCAGTTCCTTAGCAATGGGCCACACATTGGATCCATTGTCAAGGCTTGGATAGGAATGAAAAGTCTTAATGCAAACCTATTACTTCTTTACTCACAAGCCAGCTATGCTTGCATGAGTGAAAATACAACATAATGGAGTGAGTGGTGAAAGATCTGTTTATCTTGTAATAGATCTAGTTTAATTTTCCTTTAATACCTACTTGTCAAAACTCCATTTGTGAATGAGGGAGATAGTTCTGATTCTGTGATTATATTTGGTAGGTATGTGGCTTTATGTGAAGCTAAATTCATTCCTCTATTTTTATTTTAATGAGCAAAGTAATGTTATAAATACCATATGAAGCTAAGAAAAGGGTACCAGACTTTAAATTGTTCATATTTTTAACCTTTATAGTATGATACAAATAAGGTCTTGATAGCATAATTGTTTCCATGAAAGAGGTGGCAAAGTTTTTTTTTACAATAATTGTCATTATTGCACTATAACTACTTCATGTTGGTAATGTATTTTTCCCCCTTTGTGTTTGTTATGATTACCAAACTATTCAAAGAATCTTCAAATGCCCAGGCAATAAAAATTCTAATTCCTTTTCATAGCATTGCTCTAACCATCTCACATCTTAATATAGAAAGCTCTTGCAATATTGAAAAGGAGATAGGGGAGCTTGGTGCCTTACAGAGCACTTTCAGTTGACTGCTTCTGTCTCTGATGAGCTCAATTTAAACTAATATTGCTACTCAAAACCAGAACTTAACTTTCTATTGGAAATTCCATTCAAGAAAAGTAACATTATTGCTACATGAATAGTCTTCCTGTTCCTGTGGATCTCTCCAGTACAAATGCCATATACTTGGGCTCTGCCCTGGAAAAAGGATTTGGCCCTAGCCACATATTTCTAGCTTCTGCCAGCATGTGTTGAATACTCACACTACTTTCGTGTAAACAATGGAGTTCTTCTCATGTAAGGTTTATATTTGAGTTGGTATCATTCATGGAACACATCTATCTAGATAAAGACCGTAAGCAGAAGAGATTCCAAGAAAGATATCATGAAATCAAGACACTTATTTTCAAAAATTCCTCTCCTGACACACACCTCTCTCCTAACAGGACAGTCAAAGCAGAGTTAACTTGGACTGTCAAATTCCTTTCATGAAGGATCATTTTCAAAGGGTTTTGCAATCTCTTTCAGATGTGTTGTGGGCTTCTTTGACACTCATGTCTAGGGCAATCTCTGGACCTCTTTTCATAATCACTACCTGTTTTCATAGCCTCTCTAGATCCCGGTTCCTTACCCTTTTTTATGGCTCTTTGATCAGACTTCTTCCTTACCTAATGTCCAGTGTCACACTCATTTTACAGTGTCTACTGCACTAATTTTGTTGAACTTTGCAGCCAGTAATCTATTTAATGCCACCTTTCTCTACAAATTTGCAGTTGTGAAGGAAATGCCTTATCTCATGCTCAATAGTTTATCTAGTTTTTATCAAAAATTGATCTTTTTCTAGTGTATCATAATTTAACCTTTTCGGGTACTAAAAAGTGCAGCTTACAAACTTGTTAGAATGTAAAGTTAACTTTTTTAGAATGCTGCTGTGTATCAGTCATATTGGGTCCAGTGGTTGACCTTTGGAAAAAATGTTAACTAGCAAGAAGGAATGTCCTCTTCTCCATAGCCCACCCCTTCCTGTGTGAAGTCCTAGCATAATTATACAGTACATACACCAATGGTACTCCTGTGTCTGAGAGTCTTTACTAATGCATTATAAATTATATGCCTTCCACCTTTGCATTTTTAAACTAGTGTGGGAGTTCAGCTTCCACCTCCTGGTTGCATTGTGAGCAAACTTCAGCCTGCCTGCTCGCTCTCTCTTCTCCCCCCCCCCCCAAAAAAAAATAAAAAAACCACATCAGACTGGGCAAGGTGATTTATGAAGGGTAAAGCTGATTTGGTGGGAAGCCTTAAAAACCTTTTTACAAACGTTGCACGTTCTGGATGAGGTGGTAAAGGTCGCTCAGTGCCTGGCTGCAGCTTGTCAGAAAGCGAAGGCGGCATTTAGGAATCAGCCAAGGGCCCGTGCGGTGGGGATAAGGTTATGCGTGTGGAACTGATGCGCGAAGTGTGGCGGCGGCGGGACCTTAAAAGAGGGACTGGGGTGGCGCTGTAAATGCAGGAACATGACTAGACTAACCCGTTAAGCACACCCCACTTTGCCCTAGAGTGCTTTAGGGAGAAGGGCTGCGGCTCCCGGCCGGGCTGGCTCTGAACCCCCAGCGCTCGCTCGGACCCTGTGGGAACTGGCGCTAAGCCTGGCCGAGCCCGCGCCGTTAGCTTCTGCCGCGCGTTGGGGAATCGCCTTCCCCGACCCGGCGGGCCGGCCGCGGTCTCTGTCTCTGTCTCTGTCTCTCGCCCGCAGCTCGAATGGGCCGCGGGAGGCGACGGCAGCCGCGCGGGAGGCGACGGCAGCCGCCCGGGCAGCCCTGGCCCTTCCCACTCGCCCCGCGTGCTGGCGGCTGCCGCGCAGGGCCGGGGGCGTTTCGGAGTGGTGCAATGCCCCCGCGCTCCGGAGCCGGGCGGGGAACCGCTCGGCTCTCGCGATACGCCCCGCGGAGGGGCTGGGGCTGCCGCTGGTCCCGGGCTGGGATTTGGAGCCGGGAGCGGCCGGCTGGGAGCCGGCGGCAGCAGCGCGGCGCACGGGTGTCCGCTATGCGCCCGCCAGCGGCAGAGAGCTCCGCCCGGGCAGCGCCCCGCTGGGTCTTGTGAGAGCCGCGCCAGGGCACTGCGGGACCCGGCAGCCAGGGCACGAGGTACCCGAGGCGCTCGCGTCCCCTGTAATCTGGGGGGAGCAGCTGCAGCAGCCTGCGAGCCGGCCGGGACGTGGAGGTGATGGGAGGGACTGCTCTTATCCCTGCACGCTAGGAGACTGGCCCTCCGCGTATGGCCAGGACACGGGGCAAGGTGAACAGGCTGGACCCTCCCGCTTTAGAGGTGCTTAGCCGCTAACCGTCTCCTTATTCATGGTGTCTTTTGTGCAACTACAAACCTGTCCACTTACTTGCCTTGGCGTCCACCTTCTGAAAGTTAATAGGTTTTATTGCTCTCCTTGTTGGCGCTGGGATGAAACTCTAAACATAGAGCATCTAAAAGTATTCACTAAACCATTAAAAAGACTAAAGAGTGATTTAAGAAGCTATTAGACTGTCTTCAGTCTGAATTTTTACTGAAGCCTCTAGTTTGTCATTGAAGCTCCATCATCAGAACAAGTGAAACCTGGAATGTTTCCGGTGGTGACTCTAGCACAAGGTTAGTTAATCTTGTTGGAAGCAAGCTTTTCCCTCCTGCTGGATCGAGTATCCTAGCTGAACTTGCGTTCTAACTACAATCTGGGGCAGTTTAACCTGGTTGTTGACCATGACATTAGTAACCTAAATTATTGTATTACTGCAGCAATGGCACAGTTAAAGGGGCTCTACTTAAATGTCCCCAAAATTCTAAAACTGCCGATTGGTATTATCTAAATTCAAT